AAAACATCAAAGCGCATGGCACTGCATTCATCGAAACAACAAGAAGAACAAAAAGAGGCCGAAACCGAAAGAAAATGAAGCACGAAAGGATTTACGAGCTTGATCGAAAACAGGAACAGCCACAAAAACTATATGTATATATATATAAATCTGGTATGGTGAAATAACGCGACAGAAAGAGAGGGCGCACATGCAAAATAACCTCACGAAGAGTAGTGCACTTTGTTGCTGCTTTAGTAAAAGTCAGGGGCGCGGTCAAAGGTCAGACAAGGGGGAGTGATAAGGTATACACAGTACGCACTCTATTCACAAAATAACAAGATATTAAGACAGAAAAAAGGGAATTTTTATGAAGTTACAAGTTTTTAGCTCTAATTAAAACAAAACTTTTCCCTTCAGTTTATTTTCTGAAAGATAAAAATATTATCCGTATGACGCACTTGTGAATCATATTATTTTGTTCCGTATTTGATATTTCAATCAACTTTTTATATAATACATTCGTACAATTTATTTTAAGACCCCTTTTAGAATACTATATCAACTACGCCCCTTGATCTGTGACTCCTCCAACTTTCAATCTCTGTCAGCGCCAAAGGAAATGGTATAAAAACGACAATAACAACTGAAAGCATGGAAGATACACATTTCGTTTTGGGGCTAATAATAGAAATGCAGCCGCGAAAGAGAAAAGACTTGTGGTACAAAGTGGTAATGGAGACAACGCCTCCGATATGTGGAAAGCCCCTCCCTTTCGTTCCCCGCGGATTTCCCTTTTTTCTCTTCTCCTGAGTGCTTTATTATTATGACAATTATGTTCAAGCACATGAAATCGTTGAAGAAATATTTATGCGACTTGTACATTAATTCCGTGTTTGTTTTTTCGTTGTTGTTTTTGGGGTGGTGAGGTGGTAAAGGTAAATCCGACGAGCAAACAAATTTTACCTCCTTGCTGCGTCACCTGTTTTGCCACCTGGCCCGCCCCCTTTTTTCGCCCCCTATTCCAACCATTAGCCTTGTGAAAAGTTCATTTGCCCCGGCTCATAATTTGCCGCTTGCATGTCAAGCAAACTGAGACCAAACACCACACTCGGATTTCCCTGCATGTGCGAAGGAGATGGAGGCGAGTGAGCGACACTGAGGAAAAAATACGGTGTGATTAGCAGAACATCTTAAATTATATATAACAGTATATTATAATGTCTCATCATAGTTTAAAAACTTGTTTTAGACTTTCCTAGAATAAAATAAAGACTTTATTAACAACTTAGTTTGAAAGTCACTTAAAAATATTTATAATATGAATCACAATAAGTTCAACGAAAATTATTCCAATATATTCTAACAAATGATTTAATACTTTCAGTGATATAGAATCACATACTTTTTAGAAGAAAATATAGAAAACTTATGGTAGAGCCTCGCTATCTACCGACTTAAAAGATGCCTGATGCTTATTTTTGAAAGTGTATTGTTCCAAAGCTAAAAACAAAATAAATACAAAATATAAAAATTCCACAATTTTTGTTGATATCGCGAAATACCTGGTCTCAAAATACCAAAAACGTTAACGAATTTGTCAGATTTTTTAATAGTGCAGAGACAAACGCACATCATGTACTCTTTCTCCTTGGGAGAAGGAGTTGGGGCTTCTCTCCCACTTGAGTCTATTTTTGAGACGTCAACTTGCGTGAGCTGTTTGCGGAGTGGTAATACGGTGGTTCGGGTTTTCCAGCGGCATGGAGTGGCGATGTGCAGTGTTGCATATACAACTGCAATTGGCAACTCCATTGAGGCATCTATCTACATATGCATCTGCACCGGTTCTATGGTATTTTCCCAGGGCGACACACAATCCAATCCCTTCGCCAATCCAACTGCCGCCCCTAAGTATCTAATTACGTGGTATCATGTAACGACCAACAATAAGGTTATGAAATTGCAACAACGAGGACAACCAACGCCTACGACTTCTGAACAATGATTGTGTATTTTAGTCAACTAGTTAGTTAAGAACGTATTATATATTATGTTTCTTATCTTTCCTCTTTTGAAGAATTCTCTTAAGTATTATGAAGCGGAAATCAAATAATAATTTGTAAAGTTACTCTCTCTGTTTGCATTACTTAATTTCTCCACAAGTTAGTTGCTTTGTTATTTTGGTGAGGGTCTTAGGTGTAGTCATTTTAGGTTTTGTAACAAATTATCTTATCTTTAAAAAAATATTTATAGGGGTATGGTTCTCTATTACTTTCAAATATATATTTGCAATATATTTGCTATTTATTTGTGATTAAATCTTATCTTGATTCAATATTATCAAGCTATAAAACCCTTTATATTTATATTAAGTTCGTTGATTGTGCAGTTATACATAATATTTCATACTCTATATTTTGTATTCATTACTGTTTAAGCCATAGCTATTGCTTTCAATCCACTGTGCCTTGTAACGAGTGCGGTTGGGTTTTAGCTGTGATTGAGGTGGAGTTCTGCAGCGCGACTTTCCCTCCCCAGTTCCCCCACACGAACCTCCTCTTAAAACCGAGATCCACCCGAACTGACAATTGCGGTGAGTTGGGCTTTCCGTTTCTGTTTTTGGGATTTGTGCTGGCTTGTAATCTGCAGGCCCAGACACAGTTTTTACATTGTAATTTTGTAATTGCATTTCGCAGGCCAGACACACGAAAAAGGCAATTGCAGGCCCCCACTTTTTTTTTGGATGAGACACACGCTGATAGTTTGTTGGCAAATAAATGTGCATTTTCATTGGCAAGTTTCTGTGTGGGAATTTACCTCGCACGAAACTGGAAAATGTCGTTGTTATTCTTCTGAGTGCACTCTACGGATTTCTGATGACGAGCGAATACATATTACATGGAGCGATGACTCAATACTATCGTCAATAAATATTTATATGGAAACCGGCTATCAGCTCAACTCTCAGATTGAGTGAACTTAAGTGCTTACAATAAGCGACTAATTACAATATAAATAACATTAATTGATTACAAATTGTTTTATGAGACGAAAGGCTCTGCGAGAGCGAGATAAGAAACGGCTTCCAATTGAGAGGCCAAGAAAAATGGGAAAAATCTATAGATTGTTGTAAATCATCTGGGAAATGTGGCTCAGCTTGTGGTCGCAAGGGAAAATCAATACTTTTGTCTCTGAGGAAGCCATTTGCGTGGGAGTTTAAATAGTTTGCTGGGACGATAAAAAGGGGTTTTAAATATTTATTTTTCCATATTTTAAAAGCTTATGTTGATACAGCTGAGCTTGTTTAATTTTTTTATTTTGTTTAAAAAATCTTATATACGATAACAAGTGTATAAATAAAATCAACGTTTTCTTGAAACTTCTTGATGTTTCCTCTTTAATGCAATCACTAAGTAAATTTTCCCTCTGATAATTCTTAAGCCATTAAAGTGCGACAAATGTTTTTCCTGTGCCCTTATGCCAAATCTCGAATACCACTCAATGGTGGGTCCTATTGTGGTAGGACATCGCCGACAGGGACATAAAAAAGCTATTAGAAACGGGAAATGTCCATAAATAAGGGAGGAAGGGAAAGAAAAATGCTGCAGTTTTCCAGGCCAAGTTATAGGAAAGTATTAGACAAGAAAATAAGGCAAATAAAAATGTGCGTGAGTGCGTGAAGTGTGAGGAAAATGCGGGGGAGGAAATGGCAATATGTCAGCGGGGATGGGATAACGGTGTTGTGGGTCGCAATTTCAACCACTGCGCGGGTGGCAGGGATAAGGGTGCAAGGATGATGGCTAAAGTACAAAGGATGACGGATAAAGGATGGTGGAGAGCATGAAAATAAGGACTGAAACCGCCCCAAATAGCACAAAAATAAAATATTAACGCGTGCTGCTCTCTCTTTTCTTTTCTCCGTTTTCGTTTCTTTCCTTTCTGCCTTTTTCTCTCCAGTAAACAAAAGCAGCGGAAAAGCAACAACAAGTATGAAACTAGCCGGCAATAACAACAATAATTCCCAATATAATCGGAAGCAATGGGAAAAGAAATTGGCTCAATTGGAAAGCAGCGTGAATAGAGGCAAAATAGGGGATAATAAAGAAAGGTGGGGTAAAGAGGAAGCGGAGAAGACTGCACTTTATGAACAATAAAAACAACACTGTGCAGCATAAGCTGGCAAATAAATCAAAATTATGCATCATATTTATTTACAACAGCGATTTAATGTCATGACCATGGGTGTTCTATAGCTATTACTTATTTTATGCACTTGCAAAGGTAACCCTTTTAAATTTAAAGGACTCAATTAATAAAAACCTTGGCTTTATTGCATATGAAAAAAATGAGAACATTTTAATAGTTTTGTAAATCTATATTGCATATTAAACAATTATTTTGTATCCGTTTTGTCAGGACTTAAAGGATTTCATCATAAAACGAAATTCTTTCCTATCATATGATACAGAAATACGACAACTTTTTCTTCTAATTTGCAATGGAACACGAAGTCACAACACTATGATGAAATTTACACCTGAGTTGGATGCTGCATGCACTTTTATTTCAGAGAGTATGTGGGTGAATGGGGATGTGTGGCACAAAGTCCACACTTCCTTCGGTTGTTATACGTACACAAATTGCACAATTTCTACACAGAAAAAAATGTAATTGTTTTAGACCTGATAGTAAAGGTAAATTTCACGCCCTTTAACTAAAACTACTGCTTAAAATTTTTTATTGTCGCTATGTTAAAAAAATCTTTTTGAAATTAAAAAGTTTAAAATAAGAACTAGAAACAAATAAAAAGCCAATTTTACTTTAAGTTGCATAGAGTTTTAGTGCTTCCAAATTTTAAAAATAAAGAGTCTTCTTAACGTGCACAATAATTGTTTGGAAATTTATTTAAGTTGAAAGGGCTTTGGGGAATGGAATTTTTTTAATTACAATTTAGAAAAGATGTATTTTTTTCTGTGTATCTCGCATGCATTCGACGACCGTTTCCCAACACTTGGACTTACCGTTATGTTCGGTGAATATATTGAGGCCCACGGTGGGATTGCTTCGTGAATCCTTGTGACCGCCACTACGTTGGCTCAGTCCGCCCGATCCCGATCCACCACCGCCCCCGCCTGACCCACCGCCACTAACGACGCCAGAGGACGAGTTCTTGATGCGGGAGCCACGAAGCGTGGAGCCACCGCCGAGGGGGGCGCTACTTGCGCCACTGGAACTGGAGATGCAGTGGGGGGAGACAGATGCCACTGGGCTGCTGGAGAGACCAATGCAGCTGACAGGGGCCACTGAGCTGCCCCCTCCCGAATGGGCGCCCCTGTCCTTTCCCTGCTGAGCCCCCATTTGCCAGTGGGTGGTTGGGTGGTTTTTCGCTCTTGCGCAGCAACAACAACTTGTACACTTTTCTCTCTTCTCTGGCCTTCGTCGGCTCCTCCTCCTTCGGCTTATTCGCTTACTATTACTATTTATTATTTTTTTACTTCAACTCTTCTCTCTTGGATTTTTTGCTCAATTATTTGCCGTTTTGCCTTTTGCTTTGCTTTAATTTATTTCACACACATACACGCACACATTTTTCTTTCTCTTTCTGCGTTTTTGGAGTAGACAAAAAAGATTGGAGACACTCACGCACACACACAGAAATATACACGCACGGAGAAAAAGGAAGTTTGCGATTTATCTTATTTGTTATTTTATTGGCCGCTCAGGTGAATTTGCGAATTTGCAGCATGTTGGCAAAGTTTTGTGTCGGCAAACTTTTTGTCGACGCTTGGGTGGCTGAGGGGGAGTTTTGCAAGGCGAGGGGGTCGGGTACAAAAACACGCCCTGAAAATGCACTTTGTCTTTTGCCTCCGCCTCTGGCTCTTCCTCTCTCTCTTTTTCTTTCTTATTCGCTTCTTCTTCTTTTTACTGCTTAATTGATCCGCAGGCGGATGCGTTTGACATTTTATTTTAATCGGTTTTCGCGACGATATAGCTGTATCTGATCTGCTAGCGTTGCTCGCTGATTTATCTATATCTGTGCATTTTTTCCACGCACGGCGACGGATCGAATTGGAGTCCAACTTGCACTCGTGTGACCGCCTCTCGGTCGTTTAAACATACCTTATGTCGGATAAATACCGATAGAGATATCGATAACGATGCTGAAATTGCTTTGGCAAAAAGGAGTATATCGGTTTCCAACTTGGATATTGGATAATTGCTCTTTTGAACTCAATGACTAGTTGGTAAGCAGGTTGGCAGCACGAAAATGGATGTAATCCTCGCTAAGCTAAACTAGGGCAATGCCAACATGGTGTGTGACACCGATAAGACGAATGGGTAACTTAGCTAAATTAGTGCTGAAAAATGTGAAAATGGTCAGTACAAATTAAAGGTTTAACGGTTTTAAATTATGAAAAATCATAATTTAATCAATTTAAATCAATTCATTACTTATATTACTTTTTGTGTATTATTGTACTGCCCTTTAAATTTTAATGGATTTAAACAACTTTCTGAAGTAACAAGCCTTAGCACTTTTTACAAATTTGAAAACTTCTTTAAATAATTTGAAAAGTTTCAATTTTGTTTTCCCAAAAAGTCATCGATTATTGAGATGCTTTTTAAATAAAATAAATAACCCAACAAATTAAAACAAGTTTGAATTTTCCATCCTTTTCCGTTTGTTACGTTTTATTTATCCGTTGGTTTTTGTTTAGCATTCTCAATCTTTAGTTTTGTTTTCGCTTAGTTTGTATTTAGTATGTATACCCGACAAAAATTTCATGTTTGTTCGTTTCAATTTCTCTCTCCTGCTAGAGTTTAGTATCAATCGATCCTCCTCTCCATTCACACGATCCTCTCTTTCAGCTTCTGCTTCATTTTCATTTTCAATTTCAATTACAATTTCCTCGTTTACACTAAACTAACTTTTCAAGTAGGACTTTAGCTTTTCATTTTCTTGCTTTCTGCTCTTCCACATTTTCCGTTCGCTTACAAATATAAATATAATTTAAACTTTTCTCTGGTTATTTTGTTTTTTGTTCATGTTTTGTTTTGTTTTGCGTTACGTTCAAGGACTTTCTGTAGTTTCTCTAAGTTACCAAAAGCAGCTGAGAAATTGAAGGAATACTAAAATGCATTCAACACAGATTAACTAAATAAATGCCTTCCCCTAACAGAATCGAACCTTTTATAGCATTATGACACTCACTTAAAACTATACTGACTGATTGGTTTCAACTTTGCGAAAATAATTTATTTCGTGACTATGACAATGTTCCAGTTTTTGGAGTAAAGGATACGAAATGACAAAATCAAGCCACTCAGTCAGCAGAATTTTCATCAATCGTCATTTGACTATTACAGATATTGTTAATTTATAAAGATTTCAAAACACTTTATTACTTTACAATAACAATTTGCGCTCTGGATCTTGGAACAATAAACTGACTAACTTATAGTGTTTTGTTATTGGTTTGCAATGGTTTTTTTTCAGTTTTCACTTGTTTAATATTCCGTTAATATAAGTTTTATAAATATATATGCGTATAGACTTAGAAGTACAAAGTTCTTAGACCACAACTACAAAAGTGTTTATTGGAAAATAGTTTTCCAGCAACTCAAATTGAATTCTAACCAAGAATGCCTGCCGGCCATGTATCGCGTTCTGAGCGATACCCTAAACGTAGGCTAGAGTCCCGAACCTTCTTGAGAATTTTAACTAAAATTGGGAGGCAACACAAAATCCCACCTGAGAAGGCAAATTATCGCTGACAACGAAAATATCGAAATGGAATCGAAGGCTATGGGGAAAACAAATATTAATTTAGAGGCTGTCAATAATTCTGCAAATTATATAATCTATACATAAACGACTTTGGGCTTGACAACACACGCTGAAAGGATTGCATACGACTGCAGCAGCTGGGAAATATATTTAGAGTGACTATTAATTTAATGCAAATTAGTAAGCAGCTAAATTCCATTCCTTTCTTTAATATTTCCCCTTGGCTGGGGGTGGTCATGAATGTTTTTAGAGGTTTAAATTCATGCCCCGCCCAGTTACAAACAGTTTGCTGTCTCGATTTTTTTTGGTTAGCTAAAGTTCTTGTTTCTTATATACATGTTCAGATATATAGTTCGTACACCTGTCAACCCGGTACAACTTTCTGCTTACAAATTAAACTCTCTCCCGAACGCACGATCGTGTGTGTATCTGTGTGTCTGTGTGCCACCCAGGTTTAAAATTAAAAAACAACTTGTACACCGCTACATAAATAAATGTCCTTAGCCGTAAACAGGGGGGAGTGGTATTGGTGATGGGAGTAGGTGTGGATGTGCCGAGTTCCCTTCTTACTGCGCCTTGGTCTTGCGCAGATAGGCGGCTTGATCCTCGCCAGCGCCAATGAATTTGGAGCTCTCGCTGACCTGCTGTGGGCTGCTGCTCGACTGCTTGACCGCATTCTGTGCTGCCAGAGAGGCGGCCATGCGCCGGCTCTTGTGGCCACCGGGCGCCAGGTATGCCTTGTAGAAGAAGCGCGCGAACAGGACAAAGTAGCTGAAGTACATGGCGATCGACAGGTTGATATTACGCTGTGAGATGTGACAGGATGAGGTGCCGTGCGTCTTCAGGAAGCCATTGGCCCACACATTGATGGCACATCCAATGATCATCTGTGCCAGCTGCAGTGACGTAATGATCATCGAGATGAACCTGGGCGGATTGAAGCGGGCCGCCTTCAGTGCATAGTAGCTGTACATGACCGAGTGCACGCAGTAGTTCATCACGATGAACCAACGTGCCGAGCTGGTATACTCCGTGTAGCTGAACCAGGAGTAGATCAACACGGTGATGTGATGGTACCTATAAAAGCGAAAAAGTCAATTAATATATTCGTCAGCGTCAACAACAGTTAACTAACTAAGCCTAACTGATTACAAAATCTGTGAACTCATAAAAATGTAGTCTAAGTGAACATTAGTAATATTAATTATTTGGATTGTATGCCAGTATTACGTAATAATTTGCAAAAAACAACTTTAAAAGGTAAACATTTCTTAAATATAATTGAAAGTTATTCAATTTTTATACATTTGCGAAGGAATTTCTTTCCTTAACCTGACAACCTGCTAATTACGCTAATTTCTAATATCCAATTAAGCTTTACAAGTATCTCATTTAAAGTAACTACCATGACTCACTTTAGTATCCAATATATACCTTATAATAGACATTGAGATACACTCGCTTTTGGGTGATAAATCCCATGCTAACCAAAATACCTAGTCCGTTTTAAAGCTTACCAGTGCAGGAAGATGAGTGGCTGCTTGCGGAGCACAATGAATATCGTGTCGCCGAGCTCGGGCAGTTTGCTGAGCACGAAGAGCCAGGTCCAGAAGCCGCACACGCGATCTTGCTCGATGTAGCTGTGGGATAAGGTTGGGAATATCGGTCAGTGATCGGACATTTGCATAGTAATCAAGTTTTCAGCCTTATAACAAGGTCGTGCATGCACCTACAGGCGCTGAACCTGACCTGATATAAGGCTTATGAGATCGACGACAGCGAATACCAACCTGGGCACGCAGACGGAGTGGAAGAGTCCGTAATGACGCAGCACGTGAATCAGCTCCGGCGCCGTTCGGGCTGCTCCCATGATGCTGAACATGGCCAGCAAGGTGTTCCATATGATCAGCGGGCCGCGCAGTTGAAATCTGCAATAAATAATGAAAGGAAACTTTAGCAATACAGGCCAAGATACTCGTACAGTGGAAAAGTACAAAGATTGGGAGATCAAGTCGTGCTTTAAATTAACACTTCGGGGTTTTCCTGAGACCTGACTTCGCTTGTTATACAGCACTTGAAAAAGTAAATTCAATTTATTCTGAGCTATCACGAGAGTCTCTCAAACGGTTTACGTTGGCTGAATTCAAAACAGTTTGGTTAACCAATTAAAGTCAGGGAGTTCAATATAAGTAAATGATAGCTAATTAATATCTAATATATAAGAACTTGTCAAGTGCATGATCACTTACTCCTACACCTCCAAAATGCGACTTCTAGAAGATTTTAACAAACGACACTTAAAATTATTCGTATTTACCCAATGCTAATAGTCGAGAAATCGCAGCGAAGCAGCAAAGATCAACAAACTCTAACAATTTTCAATTTTCCATGCCTCCGTCCTAGCGAGCGTGAGAGTCAAAGATCAAGTTTTTATTTGCTATAAACACTTAATATGTGCGAATTTTTGTGTAAGGCAATGACATCAACCCACTACTGGAAGATGACACAGGGTCACCGTCATATCGGAAAGTAATTTGCCCGATAGATCCCTTTAATCTCCTCAAAAATTGACAATCTTTGCGAGACTTTGTTGTCATGCCACTTTGAATAACAAGCTTGATTCGATCGTTCGATGCAATAGAATTGGCATTGGACGTTGTCGTGACATCGGCTAGTAGATTACACTAGATTATTTCTAAGCAGACACAGAAATTGATAACGCAAGGTCAATGTGAAACGAAAAATCTCAGGTGATCGGCTCAGTAAAAGAATCTACAAATTATGGATAGTCTTATGAAAGACACGTGTTCGAGAAAACAAAAAAGTTCTCCTACAAGCCAGACATCCCCATTAAATCACACTTTTGTTTTTGGTTCGCAACAAAGAAAAAGTTGCCCACACAAAAATACTGGTTTGGCATTTTTAATGAGCCAAAACCTTGTCTGATGAAGTTCTATAAACGATCATAAATAGGAGTAATGATCTAAATTAAAGACGTTTATGGGTTTAGGAACAGCTGACTCACAAAACCAATTTTAATCATAACACTCAAAAAGCCTATAAAAATTAGGAATTGATTCCGATTTGAGTTTCTTAATCTTAATTAGTAATAGCAAACAAAGTTTACGCAATAAATGGGCTGCAAATCAAGCAGCCAACCTTATCGATGGCCTGTTCACTATACTATATTCTCGATGGCTGAAGTGAAACCTCTTCACGCGGCAATTAGTCATAAAAATCCACACAGACAACGGCCAACCAATCGAACAGTGAAAAAAGTGTGATTTCTGTTATCAGAATGTGTTGGATTTTTTTTTCTTTTTTTTTTTTGGCTAGCCAACAAAATTGATTGCGCTCATATTAACCTTTAACCTGGAAGCAAATTTCAAAAATTGTGAGTTGACTCTGCAAATATTTCAACAGAAAGTAGGAAAGTTCCGGGGAAATAAACTTTGTTTAACAAAGTGTTCTCGTATAAGGGAAGTGTTTGTTTGGCCACATGCTAAGAGCCTAGAAATGCGTCAACGGGTTTATAGAAACACAATCGATAGCCAGTTATTTCCACCAAACAAAGCCATAAAGATTGTGTTTTTTTAGGACGGTCTGGGGGTCGGACTTTTATCGGGGGCAATCAGAATGCTCAACTGAATACACACGTAGATACTTGTGTCATCAACCCCCCGAATAGCTCACTCGAAAATCCAGCAGAGATTTGCATTGATAAGTCCCACTGTATTAGACAATTAAGCTGCGTTTTTGAGGAGCAGGAAAATCGAGGGGAAAGCGGGCCGTCACGTAGCGGAAATGCTCATCTAAAGAATTAAGTTCCACATGGGCTTCCAGTTGGAAATCTTAAAAAATCACATCTATTAATAACAATTAAGCGAAGTGCCAAGAGAAATCACACAAAAAAGTGTGCCTGCATATACAAGATTTCATTTAAAATAAAAGAATCCAGATCATACCTTAATTTGTGTAAATTATTTTTAGCTTTATACTTTAATACAATTTTAATCTATCTTATAATATGCCTAAGCTGTTGATATTTATTTTACTTCTAAGAACTCTTCAATCCACCCTTATTATGCAGTTAAAATTCGCATGCAAAAGCTCTTTTCGCTTGCACAACTTTATCGCCCGGCAGCGGTCTCTATGATTCCCAACTTGTTCTGGCTGCGCGCGCATGAGCTCCCACTCGCCGACAGTCAGCAATTCGTGCCTGAAACTAATGAGTAAGGAAAACCAAAAGGCCTTGCTAACAGCTTGGCAGTATTGGCTTCAAGGCAGGGGGGCGATTTTCGTCCCTCGAAGCTCAATTTTTGCAAGGGCACAGGTCGTCCCCTCCTGTTCCGTATGGATGGCGTCCGGCTGAGCGGACCGGCACCTACTTTTGTGTCCGGCGAGCGAGGCTGGGTGCCATTCCCGGTTGGGTGTTTGCGATCTGCCCGATAAATAATGTTTCTCTGTACAAATGTTCTATAGCTCTCCTCGAGTTGCAGCGAACTAAAGTTTCAAGGTTCTTAGGGATTCAGTGCTTAATTTCGTTAGAACAGATTTTAAACAATCGTCAATAATACTTCCAGCATAAGAAAGTTTACCTTTGGGATTTTAGTCAATGTATCAAAGATAAATAGAAAATGCAATGATACGAAGAGAGACGTGTAAATTATTTAGATAAGCTACGTTAACTTTTTTATTTTTAAAAACCTTTCTTGATCTTTCATTCTTGGTGGTGCTGCTGACTTTTTGCTACAAATGCAGCTTAAGAAGGCAGTTTGTTTGAAATTCCAAAAATTTTGCAATTCAAAAAACCTCTTCCAGGTCAAATTCAAACACATTCCGTAGCCCGAACTTATACCCTTAAACTGTTTAAAATTCGGAAATTGTGTGGAATTTAAAAGTGCTGCAAAACCCAATTAGTATATGTTAACTATACGATTTGTCTGTTAAAAAGTAAAATATTCCCCTTCAAAATCACTCAATAAATTAGTGTCATAATATTGGTTAAAATCGTGTTTTTTAAACTTATGGTTGATGAAAGCTGTAATCGTTAAAAGTCAAAGTTCAAAGACATATGAAATCGGAACTAAGACTGCATAACATCATTACCATAATCATGATGATGGAGCATATCTTGGTAACATTATGGGAAGTTGGTGAACTTTCTTTTGCTTTCCACTTTGTGGCGAAAATTGCATAAGCAAAGAGAAAGAAATTTGCCGACTAGGAGAGAGAGAAAATCAGATAAATGGAGAGAGAGATAGAGAGTAAACCTGATTTGGCAAAATATGTAAACAAAAGACAGCGGAAAAAAGAGAGAAAAAAACCGCTGCAATAAAAAAAATCCCAGAAATGTTGGTCAATTGATTATTGTACGCTTAGTTTTGGGTTAAGCTCAGGTTGTTTAGCTTGATTTATGCAGCCCCCTAGCCACTATATATGCACACTACTTTTCCGACTGCTGGCACACTTTTGTAGTGACTATATATATATATATTCATATATATGGAAATGCGGTTCGAAATTCGCAACATTGTCTCAAAACTGATGTGCCGGTATTTTATTTTGTATTTATTTTTCTTTTTGCAAACCTTTTTTTCGGCGCGTTGCAAAACTCTTGGCTTTCTGGGTTTATTTTGTGCCATAATTAAGGTTTCGCTTTGAATTCATTTTTAATTATTATTCATTATATTATGCGATGGTTCACAAGCTGGCCAGATTTGATGTCACAGCATTGACCAAGTTAATTCCCAACGCTTTCAGAGTGCAACGCTAAAAATATTGTGAAAGGTTGAAGCAATTTTCGCTGAAAGGGTAACTCGATGAAAGATACTTTTCATGGAAAACCTATTAAAATAATGGCAATCTAGATAGTCACAGCAATTCGTGTATATCAATTGAAAGGATCAGCGATTTGTTTTTGAAATGGAAGTTAAGTTATTGAAGTTATTTTTTTTTTTGAGTAATTTCCGGAATCATAAGTTTAATTTTTGTATAATAAAATACAGAAGTTGGTCTTTTGGTTTTCAAATGTTATTGTTTAAAGTAACCAATATGACTAGTGTCGTTTTATCCGCCTTTAACTTCCATCTTTATAAGCTACATTAACCTTTTATAATTCCGAAACATGTCTTGAATTGCTAATGAGGCTAATTTCATGCATCTGGAAGTATCTCCATTTAAATTAGTTCAATGACCCCTTTAACTTTCCATTAACTTCCCTTAACTCTAATTAAAAGTATACCTAATGAGATTACACACTTTACTAGCTAATTATCTGGAGTGTATTCTAAATTTCATTAGTCGGTCTAGATCTTTCACACCTGAACATACTTGAGATGTTTAGAGCCGCAATCTTATCGAACCAATTGTATGTAACGAAAGGGAAACTAATGGTTATTATTTTTGCCAATCTCGGATGATTCATGGCCAGAAGACTGGGGTAATACGGTATGACACACCTGCTGCAGCAGGTGGGCGATAAGCTGTCAATACGCAGAAGAAATTCAATCATCAGAAATCCAGTCAAAACAATTTTGGTGGCCGAGAAAAAACGAGTTATTTCCGAGAGGGAGAGATCCACGCATGGAGTAAACAAAAGTGGGAAAAGTGGCGTGATTTTGAAGATGCTGGCCGAAGAAGAAAGGGCAGCCAAACAGAGAGAGCTTTTTGTAAAGCTCCATGTCTGAGGTCTAAAAAAAAAATGGTATCGTATGTAGGAAAACATCAAAAAGCCTATAAAGAAATGCGGCTTTAATGACACATTTTAACAAGATTTGCTTGCCAGCTCTGTGCCCGCTTGTGACCAACTGTTTGTGTTAACGGTTGTCGTTAATTTGATGTTAATATATGTACATATATGCACACTCAAAAGCCCACAGAAATTAAGCTAAGTTTCACTTTCAGCAATGCCTCTTCTTGACTCCTCCATATTGGCAGTAGGTTTTCATATTTTTATTTATTATTTTCTGGTCCGTGGGTGTTTTTGTAATTTTTAACTAAATGCTAACTGGTAACGGGTAATTGTGGCTGTAATTGAAATTGTAATTGCAGGTGCTCGTCGAGGGTGGCGATTTGAACTTAGCGCGGCTCGCCTGTCATTGCGGCAATTATTGGTTAATTCGTAAATAGTTATATAATTGCCATGCCTTCTGATGCAAAAAATAAAACTTTTCCCCACATCAACAGAAAACCTAAATATTTTTCCAGATATTTCAGGACACTGTATGTTAAAGCTAGCGTGATGAAAGCACATTAAAGGACATTATTTTAAGCGGGGGCGGAGCGAATGTGTTACTGGGAGAAATTAGGTTCCCTGCACTCGAACGTCCTCGTCACACTTATTTCCTGTTGTTGTTGATTAAATGTGGTTCCCTTTTTCTTCAGAGGAATATATGAATAATCAACAGAAACTAAAGCCATTGAATGACTCAATCTTTGAAATTTTTAAATGATTACAACTATCGGGAAACGTGCTTTACTGCAAAAGCATTTGTTTCGGATTTCTATTTTGAGCTCCCCTGGCGCCCACACACTCTTCCCACCCCACTTTTAACGCCCCCTTCTAAGCTCTCCTAATATGGCCACAAAGCGTTCGCACACGCAAAGTCCAAAGATACACCGGTCAACAAGAACGTTGCTTTCCGGGTAATTAAAATTATGGCGATATAAAGCTATTCTTTACAATCTTAGGAAAATAACAATGTTTTAAAACACAATATCATTTTAAGGTAAAGAAGAATAAGCATTACCATAATATAAAGTCATATTTAACATTCCTCAATATATATCTTTATCATTTCATTTTTGTCAGGGGTTAAGATACGTCACTTTTAAGATATATAACAAGTTACGGATAATAAAACCAATGATAGCAGAACGGTAATAAACCAAATGAACTCGTTTCGACCTCATAATCTCCACTTTTACTATCACCATTATAAGAGTTTAACCTCAAGTGGCAGTTAATATCATTATAAACGCAATCAAGCTGACTAGTGTATACTGTCCAGTTGAAGTGAACCAATCCAGCGAGTACATAAGTGAATGTCCTGCTGTCCTGTCCGGCAACTTTTGTTCAGAATTACTCCCTTAACCCCCTCAAAGTCCATGGTCACACCCACTTCTTGCATGACATACCACATGCCCCATGCTGAACTTTGTCCGCTGGGGTATGTTAAATAAAACGAGTACGACATGCGGCGTACCTATAAACCTAATCAGTTTAATGACTTTAATGCGCACTGTCCCAAACGAGTGGAAAAAAGTAAAACAAAAAAAAAAATGAAAAATCATTCAAAAATTAGACGAGGAGGAATGCAAGTGCAGTCCCACTCACTAAATATGTAAATGCCCGTATATGTACGCCTTACACTCGGCGGCATATGGTTAAGGACACGTGATTCGGTTGTGATTGAAGCAAAAAAAAAATAAACAAATATAATGATGCACTTCGGTAATGTGTGCAAAATTACTGATGTGACACTTATACCACTTCCTTCATTAAAACTTTTAAGTATTTGAATATTGATCTAGTGGACTTATCGTTTTTTTAAGTACTTAAACTAGCAATGCAAACGCAACCCTTGGGCGCAGTTTTAATTTGCCTAATTTATACTTCCGCCCATTCGATCTTTAAGCCCTTAACGTAAGTAAGACCACCTCCAAACGTCCCTCCAACCCTTTTCCATTCGCAGTTTCATTAAATTCACACCTTTCTGTCCCAAGTACGTCCGTTTGTTTAGCCGTCTCTCCTCCATGTGGACAAATATTGAATCGACATTCCAAAAAGAGCCAAGTGTAAGGTAAAGTTAACAACAAAAATGAAAAAACTGACCGACAGATCCCCCAACGAATGTCCGCGTGGAGAATTGCCAAGCACCCCAGGGCCAAGCCCTTATATAACTCATCCGCGTCCCATGGGTGTAGCCTGAAAATGTGGGCAGAACTCGCTACTCTAAAAATTATGTAAGCAGTTTTTTTTGGGAGAATCGTTGAACGATGAGGAGCAAACATATATGAAGTTGTGGGGAAAATTGAATTACTGGGAAAGAAAGGTTCGAAATTCAAAATTTATATATTTAAATTGGAACCAAAAATGATTTGTTCTATTGAGATTTAGTTCATATTTAATATTACAGTGAAAAACTATGGATTTGGTATAATTTTTTGTTTTGAAAAGAAATGTAATTAGGTTTAAGACGGTATAATTTCCCCCTATAAACTGGTATAATATAAACAATAAACTTTTCTGTTGAACTTTGAAACTTTCTACCGAATTTCACAGTAGCCGTAGCGAGGTCATAAATCACCCCCAAACAGGTGACAAAGCGAAATGATGATCTTGCAAAATTAAAAAGAGACTACTATGGGCGGCCATAGATGGCATGTCACGAGCCCAACTTAATTTGGCCACAAAACCCGATGACGACAATTAGAAACATGGCAGAAGGAACGCAAACAGCTGAACAAAAATGAAGCGAACGAGACAATTGTCAGCACGAAAAGCCAATTGAATCCATCACAGGTAAATCAGGCAACAAGGCACAATTGTGTTGACAGTTTTTGGGAAAATAACCTAAAATTGCATTGCAAATGCAAAGATCTTGTTGGTATTGGAAAACAATCTAGAATAGTGCGTGCTTAGGTGGGAATGCAGTTGTTTGGTAATTGAGATTAAGTTAAGGATCCACCTCCAGCATTACCGTTTGATTAGCTATAATTTTATATAATTACTTGTGGAACTCAACAGCTGTCTGGGCTAATAACAAAGGCACACTTTGACTCCAGTCTTTCCAGAGAATAAACTGCGATTGAATAAATATAGGGGTTTCCAGGGATTGGTTTTGATAAATAGAAATTGTTCTACCGGCTGCGATGGGCGTGTGGACTTCTGGGTGTAATTAGCGACGCTCCTATGCCGACAGCTTATATTTTCTCAAATTCCAAGGTCACTATTTCTTGGCCCAACCATAATTTCGCGGAATTATCAACACATATAGAGTGTCTAGAAATGACTCTATATAGAGCACTTACCTCGGCCGATTTTGCATAAAGTGCTGACCACCGAATATGACCAGCATGTAGATGCCGCAGTAGTAGAACACCCATGTCCAGTTCTCCAGCATCCATTTGCGCGTGCGCTGGTGTATGAAATCGTTCTCGAAATCGAAGATGTACGAGTAATTGGGCGTAACGCTAATGTCCATGTTGATCATTTTGGTGGGCTTAATGTGTTGAGTTGGTGGCTATGTTACGTGGTTTTTATGCAGCTGGGGATTACATAAGAAAATAATTAAATTAGCTTTAAAAGTAAGCAAAATATATATTATAGATTCTGCTGTGTTAATGGGAGTTTGGGAATTTGAAGATGTTTTAAGTTTAAACGTGTTTTTCGTAATAAAGCGTTTAAAGGTTTAAAGATAATATTTGTCCAAGCTGTTCATTATAATATTTTTAAATTTTAATGTAAGTGTAAGGTTTTGAGGGAGGCGTTTAAGATTTATAATAGATACTTTAAAACACGCTTTTAAGTTTTCTCATAAAGTACTGAAATAACATTAGCTACAAAAAACTGACGTTTCTAAAATAAATGAAAATTTAATTTAAAGACAATAAAACGAATATTTAATGATTCAAATATTAAATTAAAGTGTTTTTCATATTTATCGTTCATGTACCCTCAGCAAAACTTTTTTTTAAAAAAATGTTTATAAAAATACAATTTTTTTCTAAGTTAAAGATAAATAATGTGTATTTATAAAAATTATGATTTGCCTGCAAGTCGAATGTGTTTATATTTTTGCTTGTGGGCTTAGTAAGTTCACTGATTGTGGTATCTTATCGGCTCCCTAAGTAATGGGGATTTTACACCACGATGTTTAAAGCTGAATTCAGTAGAAAAATTCCGTACCACTCCCCCATTCACACACCCACACATGCAAGCACATTAAAGCGCGCGTTTTGTCGCATAAATTTCTCGGCGACCTTCCTTTCCCCTTTGTCCCGACTCCCCACTCCTCCGCTTCACTCTTTCATTGATTTTGCGAAACAACAAGAAAACACTGCTGGTCCATGGCATGTGCTCCTCTCTTTCTCTTTCACTCACTCTCTGTGCCTCCCCCACAAACTGTGTGTCGCTCTCACTCTAGAGCTCGCTCTCCATGGGATGTGCAACGCTTTCATGAATGGCGCACGCTTTGTGGTCATCTTCATCTACATTCTTCCGCTTTTCACACTTTTCACACCTCGTGTTAAAGCTCAAATAGATACACAAACAACTGGTACACAAAAAGAAACACAGATTTATATGAAGATACATTTTTTTGGATTATATGAATATTAAATTCAAATAATGCAAACATTTTTGTAGTTGAATGTAAATTCCTTTTTACTCGGAAACGTAGTTCGAAGTACTTCAAAAGTTCTTTTTCAAAACTAAATGTCTCGGACCACGACAGACTTCTGGAATACTCCAATATTTGCAGTCCTATCAATAAATAGTTTATAAAATTATGAGTTCTAACTTTTTTTTCAGACTTATTGTACATTCCCTGACGTGATATCAGCATTTATTCCAGTGCAGTGGGTGTGAGAGAGGGGTGGCTGTAACGGTAAGTGTAATTGTGGTGGTTCATGGAGAACGCCAGTCTGGCGCGCTCTCTCTTTCCTTTTTTTCTCACTCTTTCTCCCGCTCTCTTTACACAAGTCTCGTGCGAATAAAAAACTAGGAAGGAATGCATAAGCAAACAGCAAAATCAGCCGAAATACAATTTACAATTTGCCGGTGGGAGGGAAATTAGTTTGAATGCCTAATTGCATGCCAGACACGCGACTAATCACACACACACACTTTTACGCACTCTCACTCACTCCTGCAAACACAGGTGATTTCGTTTTTGTGTAAGCTTCGCTTTGGTTTGGAAGCTCTTTTTTGTTGTTTCTTTTTGAGTAACATATCCGGTTTTTTGCGCGAGCGCTTTCAAAAATTTCTAGTGAAATTTTTTGGTGTCTAGCGGTTTTTATGCTTTTAAAATATCTTGCCCTATCCTCTCTCTCTCTTGCAAAAAACACGCGATCTTTTGAGGTGAGGTTTTTTTTATTCTGGTTTCTGAATCGATAAAGTTCTCGGTTAAATCAGCAAAAGTCTGGGAAAACATATTTCGCCTCTCGTTCTCTCTCTCTCTCCTTCTCCCGCTTACAGCATCGGTTAAAGAAGAAAAAACGGGGGGCGCAAAATAAGGAGGAAATAAAACCACCACAAAACATCAACGAGTACACGCACTCACACAGATATCACAGAAAACACGGTTACTATTTTCGAACGCTGATGGTTATGAGGTAATTACTTTTGCTCGCCGCCTCTTATCGCAGTATCAATTGGCTGGATCGCAAAACACACACTTTTCCCCAGCGATTTAGCAGTTCAAACTCAAAAATCTATCGAATTCGCCGGCGCAAAGCGAACTGAACGTTTCTGCTGGCGGTTCGGTAGCTATATTGCTATGGGAGATATATGTACAAGATATTTTAGTATCATTTTAAAAGTTAGTACTTTTTATTTACGCGGTATTTTTTGTCAGTCTGTCGCGGTCACATTAAAGTGGGGGTGGAACTTTGTCAAATACGAAACTTATAGCAAAGTTATCCACCAATTGGCTTGCTAGTAAAATTACTGCGGTTTATATTTCAAATAATTAAAGAACAATTTAATTTTTCTTTCTTATTTATTTAATATTATTTGGGAATAAAAACATTATCGGTCAGACTAAAACCGGTAACGTAAATAAAAAAAATGGAAATAAAGAAAACTTCATTAATTTAGTTTAACGTACTTTAGATCATCCTACGGTAAAATCCTTCAATACTGGACATCCGCGAGGAGTGGATCACTATAGCCTTTGTGTTTTAGGGCAAAGGAACTTCTGTTGGAGCGCTCAGAAGCGTCTAATTAAACTGATGCAATACAGCACAATGGTCTTAGCCAGTACTTTCCGGTTATGGACCTCTCATGATCTTCACGGATACCCTAAACTAGTACAAGTCGAATTATATAAGTTAATAGTGCTTTTCGTAAAGAATACCTATGATGTATAACATATTGACCATTTCTTTCTTTTAAATATGATAGGTATGATAATCATATTAATACGTTCCATTTCCACTTCCTACCTTTATGTTAAATATATCATTTGCAAACAGGAAAATATTTTAATTTTCCGCCACAAAGTTTAATATCAGAAAATTGAAGAAAGATTCAAAATACATAGAAACGATATCAAACCTATTGGTTCATAACTATGCTAAAAGTTTATTGATGTCTGAAAACTGCATTTAAACCTAAATAGCCCCTTGCTAAAATAAAAATATTTTATTAAAATTGATGGATCATTTCCCTCTCAGCTCATTTAAAAGCCATGTTTTTCTATATCCTTTTTGAAAAATGTTTAATAAATACATTTTTCAAAAAGCTTTTGTGCCCTGATAGGTATGCTTCATTATATTTGCGTTGACGAATTTCTGTTTAGAATCGAATTAAGTTTTAAATTAGAGCATTATAAAATAAAAAAACTTGTTCATATAGGCGGGGGTGTAGTTTGGTTTTATTATAAATACTATATTCTTTAAGAGTTTAGACAGTAGTTGAAAGAGTAGTGAGAGCACTCCATAAGAGGCTACTTCTTCTATATCCTTGATATTAAACATATTAAAGCGTTATACCAGGCAACGTATAACCTACAATGCCATTACGATCTAAGGTCCTACTTGGCTACTTAAGTCATAACCTACTAGATCACAGATGGTGGGGGCCGAGGAGTGCCCTTCCTTATTTTTATTGAGAAGCTATCTGATTTGTTTCCAGATCAGAACTAGAGGAGACCCATGCCGGACACATTCTCCGAGAGGATCATCTTCTGGACATCGCAAAAGACATCGCGGATGCATCGGGTATCGGTGGCGACGGTGAAATGGTAGTAGCATTCTCTTTCCGAGGTGCCCAGATCCACTTGATTCCGCGAGTGACGCTTGAACGGCTCCTGGGTGATGTCCACCAACTTCTGCTTGATGAACATCTTTGTCCAGTCGCTCTCGTCGAAGCAATTGTCCTGCTGCGGTCTCTTGCAGAAATCGTCATACTCGGGGAAATAGTCAACAATGTGCTTGCCGGCTCGTATCTTTCGCTCCATGATGTCGTATTTGTTAAGGAAAACGATCAAGCCGGCAGAGGCAAGGAATCTATTTTGCCACACGGCTCTGAAGAGTTTCAAGGCCTCTTGCAACCGATTCTGGCTGGGATCCTCTCGCAGATTCTGGTCAAATTCGCTGCACGAGATCAAAAACAATACTGCCTGAATCCCCTCAAACACTTGGATCCACTTATTCCGCTGATCCCTTTGGCCACCAACATCGTACATACGAAACTCCTGTTCGCCACCACCCATGGTCTTAGGTATGGGAACTCGGAAGGTAATCTGTGAGATGCCAGTGGTGATCTTCCGGCTGTGCAGTATGTCCTCGGTGCTGGGAATGTAGTCAGCATCGCTGATCCGCACAAAGTTGTCCAAAAAGCTGAAGAGAGAAGAAAGTTGACTTTTAGTAAAGGATATCTCAATAAGAAAGTATAGAATTGGAAAAGTTTAAACAAATTTGATTTAAGTTTGATCTTTTTTGGTTGCGAATACTTACTATTTGGCACTATCCAGCAGGGGGAATTCACTCGAGCGATCATAGCAGGCACGAATGCCCACGTCGTTCCACAAAGTGGTGACGTGGTCGCAGTATTCCTAAAATTTAAAAAAAAAAACAAAATTAGTATGGTTTGTTGTATTTAATGGTGTATTAGCTTAAAACAGAAAGTAAACTTCCTGGCGCTAAGACAGACAAACACTCAAAGCTAACTCTGTTGTAAAACTGTCTAGCTGACTGATACTTTAAACCTTTCTTTTTGCACTTTTTAATCACTGAGATTGTGTCATAATAACTGTCATAAAAATTGCGTGCCACGCGGAAAATTACTTTTGTTTATAAAAGAAAGTGACATTGCCCAAAGAGCGTCAAGCGATTATAATAAGTTATGAGCCACACTTTTATTTTTGGCCAATATTAACATATATTTCTCAAGAACTGTAATAATTTCGCCAGCAATCGGGTCACGTATTCAAACAACTGTCATAAATTTGGTGGAGAGCAAGGGGAACCCGAGTTCGGTACTCCTTTTGTTTATGCTTAGTATTAGTCACTGGTAAAACATAAAGCTTTGAATGACTGGCATCTGGAACTGGCATGTAGAAATGGCCCCGCCCACTTGGAGACTTGAACAGCCTTGGTAATCTTATCGTAAGCCATATAATGACCACTGGTTAGAGGTAGATATATTTGGGGAAGATAGAGGTGAGATTGCGTGGCATGAATCATATACCAAGGTCGCTGCAGCTGCGGCAAACTTGAATAAAAAAATAATACAAAGGTTGTGGCCAGGAAGTCCGATTTACAAAACACTTGTTTTGGAAAGTTTTTAGACATTCCACGCCGCCTAATGGATGGGCTATCAATCAAATCGACACGGCCAGATAACGAAAATGCGATCGAAAGCCGTTGGAGATTTGACGCAAGTCTCAGGCGACTTGAAAGTCGTTTGCCTGGATTTTCGACAACTGGCTCTACGCTACGAGTATATATTTCAAACTGCGACAACACGACAACACAATTTGAAGTGCAGCGAGGGATAAGATACAGATACGGGATACTTGACAAGTCAGAAACTCACCTCATTCATATACTCGGGCGCCAAACCGGGCAGGGAGAGGATATAGTCAGCTGATCTTTCGCTGGTACAGCTGCCGAAATTGATTCCCAGCAGACCCATCTGGCCAACCAGTTGCAGGATGGATTCGTGGATGTTCTGGTATATTTCGGGGATCTTCTCTCGCCGCTCACTGCAAATTTTAGAAGTTAAGATGTTGAGTATACTTCAAACTTTAGCTTTTTCCTCTACTTAAACTTAAATTTAGTTTTTAAGATCAAACATTCTATCATTATTTATAATTTGCTTTGTTTTTAGTTGATAATGACTATAAAATCAGTATCTAAAGCGTTTTTAATGTGGTTTAAGATGTGCTTCGTATTTTACTAAACTATAATTCTATCGCTTTTTGATTTCATATTAAGACCTATAACTTTGACACTTACTCGTCTGTAAACCCGTTGATGTGCAGTATCCGCATTTGTTTGATGATGGTAGTTTTGCCAGACTCGGCGGTACCAAGGAGCAGAATCTTGACGGTGGTATCCCGAACGCCCTTGGGCATGTCCTTGAGCAGATGATGGCCATGAACTGTCTGGAGCTGATCCTCCTTTTGGCTCATTACCGCTGCCGGTTTGGAAGGCTGCTGGCGCAAACACCGCAAAAGTCTGCATTGGGAAAAGCAGAGAAAGCAAATTTACTTAGATGGTTGTTTGGCGACTTCTAAGGAAAAACACGCCGATCAAAGGTCTATATATAGTCCGTGGTAAATATTTACTTACACCCCAAAGACCGTCACCCACCCAGACCTGATGTATGTTTAATTAAAAGCACACAGAACCCGGAGACAGAGAAAAGATACGAGATACGAGTACTTTTTCTTCTACTACTACGGAAAATACGCAATAGATAAAACCACAATGGACCTAAAATGGCGTGGAATATATATCGGGTGTTCCGATGGTGTCTGGCAAAAAACCAAATCTGACGTATTGCCGGCGGCATTTCAAACACCAAATTGCCAATAATTTCAAACAGTAGTACGAACTTTAATTAGGTGCAGAGTACACTGGGAAGTCGGTAAATAGTTAGAAAAGCAATATTGGCAAGCAGACAGAAGTATGCAAAATCGCATACTAATTGCTAGTTAGCAAAGTTATTTGCAATCTCATCCTAACGAAGCAGGAACTGTTTACTTTGAGTTGATATCAAAGTGTAAGTACTTAAAGTCATTAGTGAGTCATTACGAAACTTGCGAGGTATCAAAATGTAATTATCGAATTTAAGTGGTAATATATTAAACATGTAAGAAAATAGTAAGTTACAGGACAACGTTATACGTCAAGTAGAATTATGGCATAGATTTAATGGTTTTTTAAAGACAAATAAGTTGATTTCTTAACAATATCGATACTCGAAGTTATAAGTGATATCCACTCAAGTTCTGGATGTTTCCAAGTCGCAAAAAACATAACCATTTAGGTAATTAAATGTGATTTGTAACAATTAGCAGATTCTTAAGGCAACACTTTGGTGAATCAAAAATCAAAGTCAATTAAAATCAATCAAGAAGTTATCAATAAAATTGGGTTATTGGGACTTTGATTGGATCACGTTTAAGATATCGCCAGACATAACACCACATTCCAGACCAAAACCTCAACAACAAATTGGCAATTGGCAATCTAATTAACTGACTAATTGCACTAATTGGAGCCATGGAAAAGTTTAGCAAGTTCCCAAATGTGGACGTACTTTGCTCCAGCTGGCATTATATCTGCTTTATACAGCACCATCGAGTCAGGTGAAAATCATTCACTTCGAGAGAATCTAAGACCCTAAAGAGGGGGAATCGGGAAATGGGGCTGGGCGCTTGCAACTTTATGGCCGGCAATTCCAATTGGGCGATTGCCAAAACTCACTCAAGACCATTGGTTGTGGCTGATTTTCGGTTTCGGCTTTCAACCTTATCGACGGCGCCCGCCACTCTAGATACGAACCGCTCCTTATCGATTCCTAAGTATCGAGCTCCCGGCTCTCTTTTTCTTCTATATATGATGAAACCCTTCGTGGTTCTAATTTAAATGATGTCTTTCCAGTTTAACCATAACCTAGCCACCAAGTTTACGATTCTTTTATGAAAGTTAATCATGAATATTTCCCGCAATTCCAGGGGCCAATAGAAGCAGGAACAAATTGGGTTTTTTTGATGAATGTAGCTATCTTTACGGCCCCGATTGTAATTTCTTACTTGATTTTAACAGGCTCTATAAATGTGGCCGAAGTATTTATGATGGCTTACAACAAAGCCATAGAACCCAATCGATGTCCATTGACCTCCTGCCAATCCGCGGATGGCAACAAAAAACTACAAAGTTTCGCTCGATTGGTGAAAAACAAATAAACATTACCTGCCCTGACAGCTGCCAAATGGAACGTGTGGCTAATCTAAACAAATAACCATAAAATTGTATAAATTATTCACAGATAATTTTCTGTGACTGGGTAATTATCTTAGGTGTCGAAGATCCGTCATTTAGATGGGAGCTATGAGAATCGCAGTGAAGGAATTGCGTCAGCCAACTGAGCTGTGCACTATGAGAAGCGCATAGAAGGGCAATTTCGGAAAGGGGCAAATTAAATATCATTTATTTTCTTTATACCTTTGTGCAATTCTTTAACCTTTATAAAACAATAACCAGTACCAGCCAGGATATAATATTAATATTTCGAAATATGCTTTGAAAAGGTCAAACGATTTGTCTCATAAACTTAATTTGCATTATCTGCCCGTCGAGCAGTCTGATTTGGGTTGCCCAAAAAGTGTGATTAGCCAAATATAGATCGGAAAAGTATTGGATATTCCGCAATGATATCATCCGCCCACCGATAGGTATAATATGAAAGTCTGTATACCAAAAGTAACTTCCCTCATTGGTTAGGCTTATCATCCTGATTAAACGTTCACAATTTGGGGCAGCAAAACTGTGATTTTGGGGCCTTTTGGGAATTAAAAGGAAGTCTGAACTGATAGGGGCCATATTGTTAATCATATTTACCATAGAACCACTTTTTCAAAGGTAAGAGACTAACCTTAATTTCATTGTTCTGAGTGTTGTATCAATTGTGTCCGATCGATTACGTATTTTGTGGGCTAACTGCTGCCGCTTTTATTTATTCACTTTTATTCACTGGTACACAATTTGTTATTAAATACTTTGGATTTCAGTGAGTTTCTGTTTTCTTTGGCCTGGTATGTGTTTATCGAGCACTTGAGTTCTTGTCACTGCTATAATAATAATATCCATTTGTCTGTATCACTGAACCTTAGCTGTCGCTTGTGATTTTCAGGGTTCCCTTTGCACTTGATTACTTGGCCGGAGCACGTCTAACACCGTTTTATGATCACACAGCACTGAAAGTCACAGCGAACGGGGTGAATTCTTAAATATCAGTTCGGTTCCATTCAGCTTCGAGATAAGGTCCCCAAAGAGAGAACAGAGCAAGTGAGAGAGCGAGCGGTGGCGAGTGGGTGGTTGGGTGTTTTACTTTTTGGAGGTCTATGGGGGAGTACGGGGGTCTTATAGCCACGAATCGTTTGTTAATTGCTTGTACGGGTGTTCAAAGTAAGAATGTACAATATCAGTGATAAGATAGCTAACCGAGGGTAGCTCAACATATAGAATGGCCACCATATGGATGTCTAAAGAGAGTTATTGGAAAAGAGAAATACGATTTTTGATAATCTCTTAAAAGAAGGAATTGCCAAATCATCATCATAATCGTAAGAGTGACTAAATTTATTGGAATTAATTTATAATCGATTTACACAGAAAGAAAATCTAACAGGTTAAAATGCTATAATGGGTTTTAATAGTTTTCCAAATCTCAAAATATCTATCTAAGCCAAATTACAAGGAAACATTCTAAGCCTTAGTACTTAGAAACCCATTAAATCTTTCTACTGAATCGTATAATCTATTAAAATCCTTATTATGATATTAGATCATAATAGAGCTCGAATGAATAAAGTCTATATGGCCTTTAGGAAATCCTCCCATCGAGAACCTACATCCGTAATATTTGTTACTCAAAGTTAAGCACTTCTCCTCAACCAATTACGAGTTGCATTTCCACATTTTTTGGAATGGAACTTTACCCCCTCTTCAGCGAAAACTGAAATTGCACTCGATCGCTGGCGAGGATTGCGAGAGGTGACTTATTGTTTGCATACTGGAGGAATTGTTTTCCAACTATCTGCACTCCAAACAGGGCACTCGAAATAACATATAATTAAAATACAGGGCCCCGGTAACACCGCTCAACCAGACCAACTCAATTCGACTGCTCTTAACAGAACTGAAACCTTATCGCGTGTAGGTGATAACTGGCAATCCCGTGAGGATTTGACCCACTGTCAGGGACCGTAATAAAAGGGTTTTGCTAAAGATCATTGCGGCACTTAAGGTTCAGGGGGGTTCACCGCAATCTGGGTTCTTAAAACGATGAACCTTTTGTCCGATATGAAGCTGATCTGGGATTCTTGGGTGGTTTGGGACGTTGCTGGGCGGCGCTTGGATACCCCACTCCATAGACAAGGTCGTTAACTGCTCAAGCCACCCACTTATCGGGCAGTCAATGTGCTCTGATTCCTTCCCCTCCGCCCACTATATAGATTTATTGTTTGTCTGTTTGCAAGACGTCTGGCTGGGAGCTGGGAAAGAGTCACACTTCGAGATAGAGACATTTGGGCATGGCCCTGCAATTAAGGCCTTTTGTGCGAAAATTTTCCTACAAATTGAGAGCCATAAACCTAGCCGATTTTATGGATCGGGCCCCCTCATTCGATATTACTTCTGGGTAATATGGGCATGACAAAAATCGTCGGAAACTTAAAACCGTCGCCGTCATTTCGCCACAACTCATTCAATTTCAATTAGTTGGCACACGTGAAGAGTTACTAATGGATTTTGTAGAATGGAATTTAAACTATTTTGTTTACCACAGACGAGATTGAAATTCAAGGAATTATATACCAATCGTTCAATGTTTTTTTGTACAGACCCGAAAAACAAGTCGCCATTCATTTCCCAGTATTAATCGCGATTTGATTTTGCCTCTCCAGATCTAGTGGATTTCCGTTACCGTAGACAAGAATTCGAAATCAAGCGCACAAATCGTATGTTTAGCCCCGACTGAATGCTAAATAGTCCTCTCTCAGAAATACCTACCACCAGTTTGAATTATATAAATCTGATGGCGCTGGCCGATCGGGATCGGATCGTAAATCTTGAGCCGATTGGAACCCATTTCGGAACGGTGGCGCTAATCATGTGGAACCCCTTTCTTCGGTGAAATAATCTATGTTGATAATGCAGGAGCATGCTTGAGAACCCGATATTGGGTATAAATTATTGTGGAGCTAATGACCTAACTGTACATTTCAATTTAAAGTCCAGGAAGATTGCTTTCTTTTCTATAACAACTTGTTTTTAATTATTAAGTTTCATCTTTAATAATAGTATTTCTAAAAATGAATCATTATTAATCATCATAAAAATCCTTTCTGGAATATTACTCAAGAAAGAGATTTTCAAATACTGTTTTTTCAAATATTACCTTATCTACTTTAAGATAGGATTGTACTTTTTAAAACTCGATTTGTTTCAAATTTGTAAATGTTATCAGGGGAACGTAATATAAAAATTACCTACTTTTTGAGTATTTTTAAAATATTGCCTCAGCTTTCTCAATACGTAGTTTCTAACTTTTTATAACAGGCTAAATACCATTGATTTAACGAACTTATATGATCGTATCTGGATTATGACAAGCCCCTGTCATCATTCAACGACGTAAGCAGCTAATTCCGTGGACCTTGCGTCTTCGGAAACGTGATCGGAGGGCAATCCATCCATCAAGTGCGGTCCAGATATCATCGGTCGTATAGCTGATAGATATAGCTATGTACTTACCTCCCAACTGGCTCTCCACTTCGGTGTTATTTGTCTAATTCGACAACACAACAGAAGGCAGATAAACGCGAGGCGCTTAATTTTGCTATTGTTTTTGTTTTGGCTGCAATGTTGACAACCATTTGATTAAAGAACTTTGGGTGGGGGAGGATATGGGTGGTTGTGGGAGTGGAGCACGTCTCTGGTTCATGGGTGGTTTTGGATGATGTACGAGCACCGGGTTGAAGTTGAATGATAGCATGATAGCCATGCGATCAAAAGCTGGTGAAAACAAGTGAATCACGTTGAATCTGTTTTCTGTTTTCATTTTCGGGGGAGATATCAAACGGAGTTACGAAACAAGGTCTTTTGAAGATGAAATGTAAGTCCCCCAATCGAACAACCTTCAATTAATTCCCTGTCGATTGCTAAAACGTAAAATATAAGTTCATAACTAAAGCTTTTAATTGCTAAGAGGTAAACCATCTAGGCTGTAATGACTATAAATCAGTCCAATATAACTATGGAGTGCCAATGCCCTTACAACAAGCTTGCCAGAAAACAAAGCTGTTGAGAATGGTTTCGGACTCTGCAAATAGAATTTCTTTATACGCCCCCATTATAAAGATGTTGAGATTAACGATTCTTAATCGCTTAATAATTGGCACCGCCTTGTGAAGAGGCTTCCAGACCCTAGTACCCAGTACCACTTCTAATATACCAACCAATATACCCCCCCCAGTTTTAGGTCCCACTTCAAGCCAAGTTGGTTCTTGGCTGGACACTGTTTGGGCACGTGTTTACGACATACTTTGTCCCCCTATCTCGGGTTAGGCGCTTCGATTTACTTCATATGCATATGCCCAGCGATTGCATTTCAATTTGCGACATATTACCTGCATTATCTTACTGTTACACTGACCGATCAGAGTCGCGTTGCATGGGTCAGTTTTGCCATTATATAGCTGCATGCGAAAGTTTCTCGATTAAGAAAATAAAAAATGGTGAAACTTAAGTGTACGATAAGCGTATACCTCGCGATAGAATACTTTAATTTGGACAGCAACGAATACTGAAATACTCTCAAATACATTTAGTTTCAGTTCTCTATGAAGATCTTGAAATTTATTTTTGGATTTACGTAAATTCGGTACGAATCGATGCAATGACTCGTTTGTTTACTCAGTGGAATCCCCTAATCTGGAAATCAGATTACATACCACGCACACATTATTTATGATGGCTCAAGACCTTGATAACTCAGCCATTAATCGGTGCTTAAAGCTAGACTATGACACAGCGAGAGTTAGTTGTTAGTTTAACAATAAAAACATGCGGGGATCTCTAGTTAAATGTATGTATTATAATATGCTTTACAACTAGGCGGAAACAGTTGGGGGTAAAATAAGAATCGAATGTATTGCGACAACGCGGTGCGGAAGTGGCTTCCTCTCTTCCGCCACCCCTCATCACATCACTTCAGAATGGACCATTTGAGTTGCTCACGCGCCGATTGCAGAACCTAAAAGATAGATAGCACACACGAATATAGAAACAGATACTCAGCAGTTATTTCAATCAATTAGCTAATGAACCAAATCAAAATGAGCGTACAGTTCCCAAACATTTTAACAATTTTTATTTGATCATTCTGAGAATACAATGAAAGTGGGCAATTGGGGAAAAGTAATCAAAACTATGTGAAAAACATGTACAAAATGTAAAAGAACAAATTTTATACTATAAGTAGATCTGTTCATTGTCTTCTAAAAGCTATAAAAACATAAAACTATAAGGCAATGTTTTTTTATGAACTAATTATATTGATAATGTGATTTTTGTGTTAAGTAATATTTAATCTTCAAATGCACATTTACAGAGTGTAATATAATGAGGGTTCTACTACACATGTCTACAAATTGCTGGGTTAATCTGTATTAAGATTGTTCGCTTTCAAATTAAAAATAAATCATATTGTTACAGGAAGTTTAATTATAAATACATGTGTCCAAATGTTAAAATAAACTAAAGAAATGCTCAGTAATTAATTACATAAAACAAAAAAATTGAAAGAGCATATTTATTTGATCATAAGAGAAAATATCGGACTGAGGGTTATCAATGTACGAAATAAAACAACACGAAACTAAGGTACGAACGCCTACCATTCGATTATAAACACTTAGGAGAGCTACTAAGTAGTAAGGCTACCAAAATAGACCATTTAGGGTGCTAGTTACCTGGGCAACGGTTTGTTCGGCAATAGGAATGTCATCGTTGCGCAGATCGACGCGTTTCACTACGGAGGAGGGATCCGCATCCAGAATCATGCTGTTAAAAGAGAGATAATCGATTAAATTAAATGTTTATAATGGTATGTAGTATACGGTTCAAAGCTCAGTTAATGTCTACACAATAAACTAAAAACTATCTGCCGTATAAAGTGTTTCTTATATTTGAACTTTTCATAACAAAAGAAAAGATTTCTAGAAAGGGTTTAAAGTCTATACATCATTTAAAGAATTATATTAAAAGCTAGCCAGACGATTTTTTAACAAAACAGCTTGAGGGGTTTATTGCTTTATAAAACTCTTGTCAGATGTTAAACTCTCTGATTCAAAACAAGCTAATTATCGAAAACTTTTGGTACTGAACAAGAATATTTGAATGGATAGCATCTAAGTGGATAAGAAACTATGAAAACTATCCTGATACCTTCTATCACACTCTTTATATACCCACCCTCCGTCGCAGATTTCATCAAAGGCCAGCATGATGATCTCCAGGTTCTCCAGCACCAGGCGCTTCTCCACGTTCTTCTTGAGGATTAGGCTGATGGAGTCGTACAGGCAGTTGAGCACAGACAGCAGGATCAGCTCGTTCTCGTAGGCGTTGCCCATCACGTAGAAGAAGAGGTCCACGTTGCTTTTGTAGACGCAGGTGAGTCCGTCCAGCATTATGATCTCCGTGTTGGAGCGGTGCGTCTTGTTGAACAGATTCTTTTCGAAGGCCTTCTGCTCCTTCAACGTGGACAAGATGTTTTTATCGTAGTATTTGGCCAGGATGCGGTTTCCATCGTTGTCCATGATGCACATGCCCTTGATGATGTCCTACGACACATAATGGGTTTGAATTTAAGCCACTAATTTGAGTATTTTGCAATTTACCATCATGAATCCGTCCATCTTTACTTGTTTTCGTGTCTTACACGTCACTTTAGTGAGACCGCACCTCGACCGCTAAAATATGCCAAGAAAATAACAGTGCTAACTCCCGCTTCAACTATAGCCAAATAGAAATAGCTAGAAGTAGCTATTTATACAGAAGGTATAAAACTGTGCTAGAGGTTTAGCTCATGGTGGAGATCTTTGATACTGACCGTTAAACAATTTTCTATTTCAATACAGAATTTAAATACAATTTCTTGTATGATTTAAGGAAAGCTAGATTCGAAATTATGAAAAACTTATTTCAGGCACCTTTGCCTTTGCTTAGCTTGATTTAAAAAGATAAAATTTCCAGAACCTAGGAACTGCTGTCAACAACCAAAATTGTGTATTTTTCGTAACACCAACAGACACGTACAAATTATTTGCGCTCAGCCAACGAAATTGTTCGAATTCGATTGTATATATTTTTATGTGAGCAACTAGAACGCTTTGCTATGGACATGCTGCCGGATGAGTATGTGCCCGATCTAGACCTGGAGCAACTGGGTTGCAGGATGGATCGTTCCTCGCGCCGCCGGCATGATCATGGAGCTATGGACGCCGCCCATGTGGTACTGACCACCACAGCCGGGAAACCAAAGCCACCAAAGCCGGAATCCAAAAAACTGCGAAAGAAGTTAACCGAATGCGAGCAGGAGAAACAGTCCCTGGCCCAGACTATTCAAGACAAGAATCAGGAGATTTTCGACTTGAAGAAATCTGTAGATTCTCTCAATGAAGTTCTCAACTCGGTACCCATCGATGAGCTGCGCTGCAACTCCTCTATAGCCAGCACTAAGATCCTGGAGTTGAGCAAAAAGAATCGTCAGATGCGCGCCGATTTGGAGCAGGCAAAGGCACGCCTTGGTAAAAGGGATGCCCAGATCGAAAAGATGGAAAAAGATCTGCGCGCCTATGAGGAGAGGCTGCAGCAGAATCAGGAAGGGCTGAGGAAGGGCTGCTCAGCCGACGACCTTCAGGCCAAGTTCAATAGTATGCAGCAAAAGTTTTTCGAAACCAGAAACAAGAACACCGAGTTACAGAACCAACTGAAACTGGCTCAAAAGTGCCTGCAGCACGAGACCGGAGAGAGCTGCAACATAAACATTTTGGCCAATAATCTCAATCAGGCCAATTGGCGTGGACGTGCTCAGCAGATCATAGCACTTAATCAAAAGGTGCAGGAGCTGAAAGCTCGGTTGGACCTTTACGAAGATAGGGTTGTAGATCGCGCGGATTATGCCCCAGTTCCCTTGGGTTCGAATCTCGATTTAGTAACCGGAAACTGCCGATCGCTTCATGCAAGTACAGAGCGACTGGGTGGAGGCGACAGTGGTGGAGCCAGCTTTGACCGATTTACTCCCGGTGTACGAAAAAGTGAAATTCTCCACCGTGCCAAGGTGGAATCCCTGGAGAAGGAGATCGTTACCCTACAAAACCAACTCGAGGAGCAGCGCTGCAAGAATCTTGCTTTGAAGGTGAGGAACAAGAACCTAAATGAGGAGATGAACAAGTACAAAATGCGTTCCAGTGAACTGGAGGAGCAAACCGATTTCAATGGCGTCAATATAAATACCATGAATGACAAACTTAACCGACAGCGGGTTCAGTACGAGGCTCGTTTGGACGAGATGCGCGGCGAGATGATCCGGGTGGCCGAAGAGCGGGATCTCTCGCGCCGTCAAATGGAAGAGTTAAGTGGTATGCATCTGGAGCTCCAGTCGGCTGTCAAACAGAAGGATGTGGCCATAAGCAATCTCCAGGATATGATTAAGAAGCTGGAGATGGACCTGCGCGCCCTCTCTGGTGGATTCCTTTTCTCTTGTCGCGAGTTTCGCAAGGAGGAATTCGTAGGCATCTTGGATGCCCTCGAGGTAGAGAAGAACCAACTGATGCTGCTGACCAAGTCTCTAGGAGACCGCCTGGAGGCTGAGCGAATCAAGAACGAGGCTGCTCAGGAGCAGATTGGCAAGTTAAAGTCTCGCATTAACCGATTGGAGGTGAAGATCAGGGACCTGGAGAAGGAACTCGATGTGCAGTCCGACAAGAAGAAGCGCACCCAGCGAATGGCCGATTATGCCAGCTCGCTGAGTCGCACTTCTCTTAACGGATCGATTGGATCCTTCTGTTTCGATAATCAGTCCCAGTTCCAATCCACCGCAACTCTGAATTCGGCAGGTCAGCCACAGCCCGAGCCCAGAATAGAGGATCTTAAGAATAAGTGAGTTTACTAATAACAAAGATCTCTCTAAATGTTAACATACCAAAAATCTTTTACAGTCTGGAATTGGCCAACGAAAAGATCACCATGCTGACAGAGAAGCTGGAATACCTCACAGAGGAGAAACAAGCCGATGCCAAGTTCTTCGAGGAGACCATGAACAACTCCAAGACCATAATCTTGGACACCATACTTGCTGCTCGAGAAGGAGGTTCATTCTCCAGCAAAAATAATGATGATAAGACCACCAGCGAGATCTCCATTTCCTCATAAGGATGAAGGAAACATAATTTTTATTTTGATTAATTTTTATGTTCTTTCCAATCTGGGGATACTCGACAAAAGGTCACATGACTATACTATTAATTAATAAAAGCGAAGCCAATTTGAATGGTCTTCCCCAACTGCGCATCAATAATTAAAATAATATCTAAACAATTGTGGAGGAATCCATAATGCGTATTAAATTTTCATAATTTTTTATTTTATTTGTAACACGTTCACAAAACGAAGCCTTTGGCGCTGCTTCTATTTCAGGATAAGATTAGATTAATTCAAGTATTTGTTAGGTGATTTCTTTCCACTCGAAGCATTTCAAATTGCATTATGCCTATATAATTGTTATTAATTGCCGTCTATAGCTATGTATGTGTGTGAGTGTGGTTTAAGTTAAGTTAATAATACATTATATAGCTTGACTTGCCATAGCAAAACCTTCCTCTCCAATCACATATTAAATTATTTTTAGTTTTAGTTTTTCGGTTTGTAAATTGTTTCGTTATTTTGCGTTTGAAATTCGTTCTCCATTGCTTGCATACGTTATGAAGATGTATAAGTTACAATGTATATATTGGTATATTTATTGATTCGTTATCGTTAATATGCATTATTCTGATAAGCCTAGTAAATTGGTTTTATCTAAAAAACACTGTTTAGCAAATTAAAGGCACTTTCAAGGATTTCTTTTGTGAAACGAAACAATATCTCCTTATTAGCTCCTCCTCAATTTAACACTAGAAACAAACAATATATAATTATTATTTTCTTAACAAATATATATATATATATATATATTAAAACATGAAATTCCCCCCGAAAACAAGAACAACATATATTTTGCTCTCCTCTTTTACACAGATAAATTGACAAAATTGTAGGGATAAGGATTCCGATCCAGATACAGATCAGAACCTACATAGGCTAACGCGAAAAGCTTTCAAAAAGCCTAAGAAAACTTGGTGGGGGAAACTTGGGTTAGCTACTTTCCCGTAAGTAATATTTTGAGAACTTCTAATTAAATTAGAAAACGTTTGCCTTGGGACTTGGCCATACATAACTTTTTATGCTGAAGCATTTCTTTTTTTAATTTTTAGCTAGAAGAGTTGTCCTATAGATATCCGTATTTGTATATGATTGGTTAGCTATAGCGTACGATTAGCTGATTAACTTCTTGTATATTCTTCAATAAATATCTGTATATAAATTTGATTCGTTTAAGGGCTGTAGATAAATGCAAACTTGGCTGGGCTTAGCTTGGTCGCTCAATTTCAATATTGGAATCAATGCAGATATATCGGCCGATTCATAGCTGAAACACATTCGACTCTGTTGATTACTCGTTACTCTGCTGTGGCTTCTTTTATTTTTTTTGTTTATTTAATAAGTTGGATATCGGATTGTTGGTTCTTGGTTGGATCACTATTAATTTTAAAATTAATTTGCCTTTTCTTTTTACATAATCCGCTGCTTTGCTATATATAGTATTTATATATCTATGTATGTAGTGGATGTAGTATAATTTAATGCACTAAAGATTTAAATTTTGGGGTGTTCCTCGGGGTGAGTGACCCCCATATCATATCATCGCCGTCGCCGCTTGAATACGTGATTGAAATAGTAGTAAATGTCCTGCTCAGCCTGCTGCTGCGGCGTCTTCTTGGCCATGTCCTGCTGCTGCTTGGGATCCACTTGCGGATGATAGTTGCTGTAGTGGTTGTAGCCATGCATGTCGTACGGATTGTGGTGACCCGGATGCATGCCTGCCGACGGAGGGACTCCACCACCTCCGCCATGAACGCCATGCCGGCCGTTCCTCATCATTAGATTCGCGTGCATATTTCGATCCGCGATAAAGACATTGACGAAGAAGGCGAGCACGAGTAGGATGTAGAGCAGGCAGACGAGGATCACCACAAACTGCTGGCGACAGCAGCAGTAGTAGAACATTCCCTATTATATAACCGCCTGTTCCACATAGTTGGCAGGCAGCATTCCGGTCTTACCGGTACGCTCTACCCGACCGGTCATCCAGCCGGAATCGATAGACTCCACCTCAAAGATGACGTCACCCTCCCGGAAGCTGACCTCGTCGACGTCCTGCGCCTCGTAGTCGTATATGGCTCGATAGACGCGCTAAAAAGATACATTTCAGAATTAAAATCCTTGAAAATGACAAGAGGAAGGACAAGGCTGCTAACCAATGCTGAGCTCTGGCGCGATTGTTTCTCCTGCAGAGAGGAGTAAGATGGCTGCTGGCGCATCTGCTGCTGCGGCGGGTGCTCCTGCTGCTGCATCATCTGCACCTGTTGGTAGTACTGCTGGTGCTTCTGCTGCTGGAGAGCCTGCTCGGCGGCGCTAAGCGATCCATAAATGCCATTGGCCGGATCAATATCGGAAACGGAACCAATCCTCTTGGGATACACACTGTTGCCTGTGGGGACGATACAAATCTTGATTAGCAAAAATGTTCATAAAATGATTTATAAGTGGGGGACAAGGACAAGATGACTGTGTGACATCGAGCGGAGCGCATTACATCGAACTACCAGCTAGCCTGGCCCACAAACTTACCACCTTGAATGGCCCGCGGCTCGGAGCTGTAGACCAGTGTAGTGCTGGACCTGCCGGCATTGGGCACCACCCTTGGACCATCCGTCAGCGGATCGTAGTCCGCTATCTTTCCGATATTGCTGCCTCCTGCCACATGTTGCTGCTGGTTTGGCACATGGCCATTGCTGCTGTGGTGCTTTACGTTTATAGAATTTTCCGAAGGTGTAACAGCGGCATAATTAGGCGACGCGTACAACTGCTGCAGATGATTTTGAGCGATTCCTGGCCCGGCTGCCACTCCTCCTGCGGTTGCAACTTGTTGCTTGTTGTTGCCATCGTAGGCGACACTGGCCGCCGAACGTCTCATTTGTGGCGGCAACATTTGACTTTGGGATCCATGTCCATTATTGTTGACGTTACTGTGGTTGTTGTGCAAAATTCCGCCGTTGGTTGAATTGTTGTTTATCAGACTGTGGTGCGATTGCTGCTGCTGTGGGGCAGCCACCAGCGTGTTGTTGCTGATGCGCTGTTGCGGCTGATGTTGCTGCTGCTGTGGCTGGTCGTACTGATCCTCGGAATTGCCGCTGGGATGATGAGAATTCTGGAGTATGGCCGAGCGCATCTCATTGTAACTGTTGAGCGCCTGTTGCTGCGGATTCACCGGCGATTGAGGTGGCGGCATCTGTTGCTGCTGCTGCTGATGCTGCTGGGGTGTTGCTGTGGGATACAGATGTGAGGCTTGTTTAATGGCTTGCTGTTGCAGCAGTTGCTGCTGTTGTTGCTGGCGCAGTGCCTGCGGTTGCTGATAGTGTGCATAGGGATCGTGCAGTTGCTGCTGTGCTCGCTGTTGCTGTTGCTGCTGCTGTTGTTGCTGTTGCTGATGTTGTTGCTGTTGGAGTTGTTGGTATGTGGGCGTGATGGCCGCTGTGTTGTATTGCTGATGTTGTATGGGTGGCGGTGGCAGGGTCTGTTGCTGCTGTTGCAGATAGTGTTGGTGTTGCTGTTGTTGCTGCAGCTGCTGCTGCTGCTGCAGTTGCTGGTATTGCGCTTGCTGCTGCTGTTGCTGCTGCTGTTGCAGCTGCTGTTGTTGTTGCTGGTGTAGTGTTGTCACTGCTGGCGGTATGGGTGAGGCTGTGGGTGCATATTGCGAGAATTGTTCAGCTGCCAATTGCTCAGAGAAATATTCCGATTCATCTTTATCGATTTTTTGCGATTTATTATCGAATTTTTTCATTTTTGTTTGTAGGTGACATTTAATTAGTTACAACATTGTCCACAGTTGTTGTTGTTGTTGTTAGTGTGGATGTTTGTGTCGAGTGTGTGTTGTGTGTGTGTGTGTCGTTAGGTTAACGGTAGTTCAGAAAGCACACAAATTATGTTGTTGATTTTATTGTTGGTTGCAGTTGTTGATGATGTGGGGGATACATATAGTGTATGGCAACACACAAATGATAAACAAAGTCCGCAACAAAATAAAAATAAAGAAAACAAACCATAAAAAACGGAATTATAATCAATATTAATTACAATATGTGACAGATGTGACGGAGAGGTGATGGAAATAGATACATAACATTACAGATAAATAGTGCAGAAATGCAAACACGACAAGTCATTTCCATTTACAAAGTAAAAACACTGTGAAATAAAATAAACTTAAAGGAAAAATTAAACTAAGAGAAAGGAAAAGGGGATAAGATATTAATGTGGAAAGGAACTTTTCAATTAACTCCCCTAACAGCTTCTTTAAATATTTTCAAATATATTAAACAAATGTATACATTTCCCATTTTCTGAAACAAATTCGATACAATAGGCACTACAAGCTCACTGTAAACAGGCTTTGTAGTTGCTTTTTTTAACCATTTGAATGCATGCATGAATGAATGACGTCAATAGGCTATTATGAACACATTAAGTCAATTGAAATTCGAATAAATTAATTCAAACAGTAAGCCCGCCCCACCACCAACTAACCGTTATTAAGCGAACGAGCGGTCGCAAACAATAAAGCTTTGATATTATACCAGTGAGTATGAGGAGGAACAAATACAGATACAGATAGTTTTACAGTGGTAATTCATAGGAGATGGAAAGAGAGATAGATAGAGAGAGGGTCAAATGCAAGGCGACTACTCACTGCTGCTGTCGGAAACCTCGGCGGATCCTCGCTGCTTCTCCATGGCCGCCTTCTTCTCCAGGTCGCCGTGATATGCCACATTCGATATGTGCTTCGTGTTCTGTTTGATCCTCAGCGTTTCCGGGTCATCGGCCACCTGTCGGACACATAACCAATTAGTAAAGCCATAATTCAGGCGGGGGAGTGTGTTCTTAGATGCACAGTGAGAAAGTCTTAACATTAAATTTAATATTTTTCGAAATATTAGATTGCTTTGGGAAAAATATAGGCTAATTAAGCTACCATCTACTGTGCACCTGTCAGTACTACCGAAAAACTTAATATTTCAAGAATCAGTTCGAATTTTATTTTTGATTTCTAGCTATTTAATCCCTGTGCACATCTCAACTTTTAACTCTTCCACTGACCTGTGTAAATTTGCCTTTGGCCTTCTCAAAGTCCGCGTGGTATTTAACATTCGACTGGATTTTCGTGTTCTCGGCGATGCGCTTCAGTTCGGGCGTATCGGCAATGGCCGTTGCCTTGGCCTTCGGGATGTGTCTGAAAAAAAAGAAAGCAGAACAGAGGTTATAGATCAGCAGTGTTAGAGTTAGAGCTAGGGGAGTTAATGTTAGTCAAACTGCAGTTGCAGTTGGAGTCGCTCATTCTGTGGGAAGCCGCAGATAAAGTTCATCATCATACTGGCACACCAACACACAGTCACTCTGCCAGTGGCAATCGGAGCTGTTCCCGCTGAAAATTCTCCACGCCAGCTGGCCAACATGGATTCACGGAAATTCCGCTCGAGTGGGTGGAATGAGAGATGCTGATTCTGCTCCAGGCGATATATGTTCATATATATATATAAAAGGCAACATCATATCCATCTCTGATTTCATGTTGGCTTCGTGTGAAAACCTCTGACCTAACCCCCTTCTCAACGCTGCGCTTTTATCAATTAAAACCCAGCTCCCCACTCCGAAGGCAGCAGAAACTACGTGTATTTTTGTGGTTTGATTTGAGTTTTCTTCAGTTAGCCTCGGGCAAATAACGGGAATGCAGAGAGATACCAGAGATTTATCTGTGGCCGAATGCAATTCATCAAAAGTCTCGTTTAAAAACTCACTCGCTTAACTTTAATTTGCCGTTAGTTTTGGGGCAACTATACGCCTGGCCAGAGACTCCTAATCCAAATATAAAGTTTCGGCTATTAAAACCAAAGACCACACAAAGCCAATTCGTTTGGTTCGAAACTTGGGAAGAAACCAAGCAATAAACATAAAATTGGAGAACTTTTAATTTAATCTAGAATAGATCTATAAAAATACTCATCAACACTTGCTTTTGTGTAAAACTTTATATAAATTCCTTAAATTTAATTAGAAACTTTCAATAAACTGCATTTGAGGTTTTAAGAGTGATTTTTGCACATCATTAAAGGAAAAGTACTAATAAAACTGAAGTAAAAATCATTCACTGAAATCAAAGAACAATAACCACTGATATTTATATAGAACTTTTTGCCGACTTTTTGCCTGATTCATCCCCACAGACTAATACATCAATTTAATTATTGGCAGCGGCGACAAGGAATAACAACATGGCGCATCTGTTATACAAAAGTAATCATAATGAACAAACACACATGCATTTCGGAGTTCCATAAATTCATGACTCTTTTTGTTTGCTGCCATGGCCAGGGAGTGCTTTAACCTATCAGCGGGCTAATCGATCGATCGATCGATTGGACAACAAAATAAACTGATAACCAACCTCGATGACTCGTGAGGTTGATAAACTCCCCAGCGGGGAAGTACCACAATGCACCCTTTTGGCCATATAAGGCCCACCATTACCATCATCACCACCACCACCCCCTCATATATAACCATATTGTAAACGTAATTGCAAGTCTATTGGCTTTATAGAATATTTATGGGCTTTTTAGCGATGTTCTAATCGCTGGCTACAGCTGGCGCCGACTTTCGAAAGGTATAGCACTGGGTGGGGGTTATTACCGTAGTTGTTGTTGTTGTTGCAACATTTATACGAGTATGTAGTCTCCCACTGAAAATAAGCTGCAATCACTGAGGAATGCCAACCAGCGACAAAACAATGCAAACTGTCACACACGCACAGAGGTGACCACCATCGAGATGGATGGTATGGAATGGCATGGCCCCAGCTATACAGTATGTAGTTTGTATTATATGGTATAATGGTATATATATGGTGGATAGTTGATAGTGGCACAAGGCCGTTTAATGACCAAAGCGTGTGAGCTGCAACAGAGCAACCAGAATCATTGAGAGAGCACCGATGCATGTAGGTCTATTCGTAACGACAAGACTTAGTCTAAGTCGGACTTAGAATGACGAATTTTATATACTCTTACAAAACTATCTTTTTTTTCCTTAGGGTCAAATCGAAACACTCAGAAAACGTAATAGATAATGTTAGCAAATAGTACAACCCAGTAAAAAGAGTATACCCGAGACCAACAATAACAACAGGGAGAGACTTAATGCATTGTTGTTGTTGCTGCTGCTGTAAGCTTTGCTTTACTTTGCTTTATCGTTCAATATGCGTTGCATGTGTGTATGCCACAGATAGTTACGGAGAAGGGGCTGATGAGGTGGTGACCAAGGGGCAAAAATAAGTACAAAGCCCGAACCGCAGAAAGCATCGTCCGCATTGCCGTTGCGTTCGGTCGGTCAAATTGCTGTTGTAGCTGGCACACATTGCTGATGTTGCTGTTGCTTTTGCTAGTGTTGCTGTTGCTGTTGCTACTGCTACTGTTGCTGGTAGATGGTAGCTGGTAGCTGGTAATGATGACATAACAATGCTTAAGCGCCCGGGGGCGACATTGGCGAGCGGCTAGCACCAGCGGATGTCTCAGCACGTTCCCAATAGATCAGCACCAACAACACAGCAACAGTAGCAACAGCAACATGCACGTCAGCAACAGCAACAGCAAACAGCCACGCCAGCAACAACAATGCATCATGTGTATTATGCAATTGTTGTTCCTTTTTTGTGCTTTCCTTTTTTTTTTATTATTATTATCAAAGAATTTTAATTTATTTGTAAACAATACACAACAACAATAGTAACAACAGCGGAAAAAGGAAGAAGAACCAACGAAACTGTTGTTGCTGCTCATAATTTCTCCACATTTTCTTTTAGTCGGATCCATCGAAGAAAATCGAATATTGGGAATGCTACTTCATATATGCACTTTTTAGTACAATAAATTTATTAAGTATTTTCCTGTCATTTTCTATCATAAAAATTGCATTAAAAATTTCTGAAAGTGGAAAGTATTTTAGCATACTAACATTTTAAATAAAAAGATAAAAAATAATTTAAAGTTTAAAACTAACTATTTTTCCTCCACACAATCTCCCTTTTTGTAGAGCATTTAAAAAGTTAATCAACGGCTGTAGTTTTTCCGCCTCCGTTAATGATTTCCCACACACAAATTGCTTTTGATGGACAGAAGGAGGATCTGGATTCCTGGCCATCAAACTGGACTACATCGTGTGGTAACTGTGGCCACATCAGCCAACATCGAAAGACCATCCACAATCCACCCAAAAACCAGCCCAGCACATAAACGAGAAAAACGGTTTGGACATTCATTGGATGTCAACATATTTTTCTGGTTTTTCACTCTTGTTTTTTACGCTGCTGTTTTTTTTTTTACTACCATTTTTCTTTGTTTTTTAATTTTTTCCATGTGGAACAAGCCAGTGACGGCGATTGGTGTTGAGTTACCATGACAGTCTTTTGTTGTTCGACTGCTCGATTTTGTTGTTCTTGTGCAATGGATCAATGTAAAGTAAAACAGGGAGAGGCACGTCCTACGACTTTTTATAGTGACTATGACTGATAAGATGGGATTCACACTGGACTGGATTTAAAGTGATGGTTTGTAGACTAAACAAAGGCGTTTGCCTTGGCAATAATGTTATTACTTTTAAAGATGTCTCTGTATTTCACATTTTCAGACTTTAAATATTCCATTTTTTAATCCTTTTTAAATTTATTATATAAAATTCTTTGTAAATCTGCTACAAATCTTTTCGAAAAGGTGGACATTTTTAAGCAAAGAACCTTGTTTCGAACCACTCCTATAGAAAATGATACAATTTTTGTATTTATTACACACTGACTTATGTATTATGCAAATCTCAAAGAGATCTATAATGCTTTCTAGTTATCGATAATCTCCTAGTGATTTGTAATACAGATATGACTGATAAGATGAGATTCTGTAATACTACAACTTGCTGTGATATATCTTTAGTAACCAACTGACAACAGACATTAATTAAACATAAATAATAGATTTCAATTTCGATTTCGAACTAAAAGAAAACAAATCAATTAAAAAGTTTAAGACTTTGAATATTCAAAATCATTTTGCTATTAAGAAATAATTTCCTTAAATCTCTGTCTGAAAATTGCATAACTAAAAGAGAAATCATTTCACAGATAATTTGCAAAAAGCGTTAAAATTGAAATTAAATGCATGTCCGACCAATACGATTATCTGCCCCCCTGCCCAGGCTCTGGCTCTGGCTCATTTTAGCCTTACATACTGGCATTGGCCCATCAACTTCGTCATCATCATCATCATCATTGGTATTCATAATCCGTTGCAGTCAATCAAAGTAAGCATAAAAGTTCGAAAATCCATCCACAGACAGCGAAAGGTAGTGAGTGTGTGTAAAAAACAATCCATCGCGTGTTTAAAGCTTTTAAAAAATTCATAACCAAAAAGCTGGATAAGAAGAAAGGCGTTCCCCGGGGTAATTGTTGACACCGCCACACCACACCACACCACTCCCAGCCAGCTCATTATTTCGGAAGCTAACCCACAAATTTTTTGTATTTAGCATAAAATAGTGGATAAATGAGACAATGCCCTCCCAAGCTTACAGACTCTGCTGACCCAACTACTTTTTTTTTTTTTCGGTAATTGAAAAGGTTTTTGTGGCCGTTGTTGTCACTTTTGTTTTCTATTTTTGTGGGCGGCTTAAGTAATCAGACGAAGATATATGCATATATCTATATATATGCCATATAACCCCCTGTATTGTTCGGATATTTAAGCCGCATTTCAAAATGAAAGTAAAAAATGTGATGCAAAATGAAATGAGGGAAGACAGCAACGAGGAGGAGAAGAAGAAATGTGGCACAGAGGCTGGCGGGGAGGACGTTTGGGATGTTGCATATATGACCATGGTTCACTGGGTTTTTATGTTAATAAATAAATGCCAATGATATATAGGAATGTATCAGCCTTCTGTTCGGCAGATGTTTCGCCAACCCTTCATTCCTATTTTGTTTTTTACACAAAGTAAGGGAAAACGAAATGAAATACTAAATAAATGCGAATAAAAAGTGCACACAAAAACGAGCAAGACATTGTAAACATCTCGTTTTCTAGTTCAATTCCAACTAAATGGGGCCTGGTAATGTAATGTATACAAAATTCTATGAATAGAACTTCCTTTTCCCCACATATGTGTATATATATGTTAGTGCACTTTTGGCATATCCTGGCCTAAAGCCGGCTCCTTTTTCCTGTTCTGCTTCTGTCCTTCTGGTCTCTGTCCCGGCCTTAGGTATAGTAGACAAGGGCCAGGAAAGCTCTACTTCAAGATGCAATTAGGGCGAGGAGAAAGTTTCGTTTTGTTGGCCAAGGAAATTTATCCAAAGGTTCCAAGTTCTGTGTGCAAAGTCCAACATATCCCTTTTTGAATGGGCAAAACGACAAAAGGAAGCTTGAAATAGTCACTAGAACTAGTTTGATCTAAGGTTCTTGATTTATTTACATTTTTACTTTAGTTTTCTATTGAATTCGAGATTTATTTTATTGATATTTAAATTTCTTCAACTTTTCTCAGTGAAAATAAACTACGTTTTGGTAGAACTATAGGTAATTAATAAAGAAATTCAAATTTCTAAACCGTTTCCCAAAATCTTTTTTTATATCTTCATCCGATTGATTTTTAAGCAGAGATCTAAGTTATCTTATAAACAACATCTTTAGCTATCAAGAGTATGGAAATCTTTTAAGCAGACATAATGATAAACTGTTTTTAATGATAACTCTTTAATCATAACTCAACTTAGCCATTCCATTTCAAATCTAATACCGTAAGAACCAAAAAGTTAAACGTTTCCCATCCATCTTAGACCAACTCTCCTCCCATTCTGAACACTTCCTTCCTCTTCCTTTTCAACCATAACTTCCGTGGCCCTTAAAATCCAATTAACAATCAGTTGTCTGGCACTTCAGCTTCATATGTGGCCCAACTTTAATTGCACGTTTTCCTCATTTATCCTGCGAATGAACTTCATAATTTATTGCAATCGTGTTATCCCCGTTGGGCGACTGACCTCTTACGGCTTAAGAAAGCGGCACTATGAAGAAAACTTTGTTTTGACCCGTGTAACTGGATGGGAAAACTATCTTTTGTCGGCGAACCGAACTTAACAGAAGGCCCCCAAGAATATAGCCAGACAGGCGAAGGAAACTTCTCAAGCAATTATAAAATGCAAACCAAAAAGTGGAAGTTGAAGTCGCCGTTGCAGTTGTAAAATGTAAGAAAGCCAAAGTTAGGTTTCTTTTTTGTCAAACAAACCAAAAATACCCTGTTTTTTTGTTGAATTTGTAAGGATGATGGACTTATTATAGATAGAAAAGGTTGGTTTTCATATTTTCACATTTATTCATTAGATCTATTGCCTCGAAATAATAAATATTGATTTATATTATCGATTTACTGACTTCAGAGATAATTTTATTAAGATAATAGTATTCATTTTACCAATCGATTTCATTTATCTCAGTTAAACTATCTTTGTAATTTCACTAAGAACTTCATCTATTTTATCTTCATCTAAAAAATGCGACTTCAATTCCCGCCAAACAATAAGAAAGAAAAATTCAATTTAATAGATACTTTTATCCCGATCAGAATTGAATTTAGTGGAATGCCCCAATGAGGAGGACTTGAATATGCCCCTTCAACACGCCGAGTCTACCCCGTACATAAAAATCTAGTTCGAAGACGGGCGCACCACAAAAAGAAGCTCCCGGGATTCCCGTACGTGGCGTCACGTAATCGAGGAGCAGCATTTTCCGGATAGGTGCAAACTGTTCGAGGAAATGCAGTGAAAGTGCCGGCAGCGGAAAACGGGGCGTAACCGCAACCACTTCTCCTCCGTTAAGCCACATTGCTGTGAATCCATTTTACAATTTATGCAGGCGATGACATCAGTGGAAATTCGCACAAAGCGAACGGGACATGTGATACCAGCCAACCCGCCAGACATAGTACACAGTTTTCCCTCACATCCCTGGAAAATCGTGAAAGGGGGGAAGGCACTGCGCAATGGAGCTAACGGACGCATAACTCAATCCGCATGGAATTTTTATTCCCGCAGCGGTGGCATCCACAATAAATCTGCATTAGAGCAGCAGTCGTCGTTGCAGGACAAAATGTTGTAGTAACTACCAGTATTGCTATAACCGAAAAGAGGACGATCCGATCCCCTGTTACACTCTGCGCCCCTGGCTTTTGGCTCAAGGCCAGCAAATGCAGCCACGCACTGCACCAAAAAAAAAAAAAATGAAAGACAGAAGAGCAGGAAGGAAGGCCGAGTTGGTGTTGGAGTTGCTGTTGGCCACAATACGAGCACAAAGCAAAACACTTGCTCTCTTGTCCGCTTACCCAAGTCCAATGTGTGTGACATTGTCTACAACAATGAACATGACAGCAGAAAGCGGACCCAGGGGTGGCGTTCGGTTTGGGTAACAGAAGGGGGTGCAGGGAGGGGGCGTCCCCCATGTGACACAGATTCCCCATACGATTCGCGAGTTGAACAGCTCAGCAGGAAACAGGAAAACTTCTGTGTGCGCGAAATCGCTAAATGGCAGAGTTGATCACCTGCTCTTTTTTAAAAAGGAAAACTAGAGTTCCCAGAGCTCGAAAGTCAATTTTAAACTACGGTTAGAAAGAATAATAAAATGGGTTCTTCGAATTGATTTTAAATTAGATATAAAACCCAATCAAAATACAGTATGGTGTTATATTAGTGGTAAATAGAAATAGTTACATGCAAAAAATAAATTTTATTTTCTATAATTTATCCTTTAATAACAGAATTTTTGAATCTACTATCCATCGCTCCCTTAAGAGCTTTTAGAACTCTACATTTTTATCTTTTATAGAGAAAAATCATTTGAAAATATGTTTTAAAATATTTTTATGATACAAAATTATAATAACTTATCATTAAGCCATTCTCAAATCCCACGATCCCATTTTTTACCCTTGTACTTTAATAAAGCTATATCCTTCCTACTTTTTACTTACTAAAAAGTTATAATAACAAAACTGATCATAAGCCATGCTTAATTTAATAAATGGTTCAATTTCTATCTGCAAAAAATCCATATGTCTAAAAGTATTTCACAAACGACACTCCATAAATATAGTTTTATAATATTCCTTTAGATATACCAATAAAAAACTAAAACCACGAACTTTATAAAAACATCACAGAAATAAAAACTCAATCTGGATTTTCATGCGTTGCTGTCGCCATTCCAAAATAAACACTAGCCCAAAAGCAATTTGAATCAAAAGTAAAACAAAAACTTAATTCAAATGAAATAAAATTCAATCATAAATTCGCCAAAAGGCAAAAGCAACAACCTGATGAAATTTCAAAAAGAAAAAAAATCAAACTGCACCTATTAAATCTAATCTCTATTAGGAGCAGCTGTTCGTTATCAAAAGAACAATTAACTGGTTCACCGGGTGAACTGGAGGCGGTAACACTGTGCCCGGCTGGCCCACAGCAGCAACTGCATTTCCGCATTCTGCAATCTGCACTCTAAATTCTGAATTCTACATTCTACATTCCTTAACCTCCGCCCGGACTTCTCCTAACCAGCTGCTGCACTTTTTGTTCACCCACATTTAGATTTTTTTTTTTGCAATTTTCCAGTGAATTTAAACGTTATCTGGGGTACTCCCACACCCACCCACCTACTACTATCTCCCTGGAGCGATTAGATAAACGACGCTAATGAAGATTGCCAGGTAGGTATAGCGAGGGAGTGAGTGAAGGAGTGGGCGAGTGGGGGAAATCAAGGTTGACCATCGGGGGATGGGGGATCCTCCATCGCATTCCGATTTCAAGTGGGTGCGACGACGATAAGCCTTAACGTGATTGCCCCCACTGTGTTCCACAATTGTTCCTAGGATACCAAATGGCGATGAATGGAAGGGAGATGGCTAGATGGCTTAGATATCTGGATGGGTGGTAGAAACTTGGTTAAACTTACGCCTCGCAGTAGGGCATTTTGTTGTAGCCCTTGTAGGTTTTCATATTGAGCGTCATGCCGCATTCTGTGCATTTGAAACACGTTTTGTGCCATGTCTGAAACGAAAGAGTAAGAAAAAACGTTGAATTACAAACGGAAAATCAGAGAGAAATTGTTGAGAATGCAATATTATTATTGCTATTTGTTGTGTTTTTGGTGCTGCTTGCTGCTTGCTGCTGCTGCTGCTTTGCTTTTGCTCTTTGTTGCTTGTTAGCCAAATTGGCGCAGTGCAACTGAAAACTCTTAACCAAGCCAAGTCAAGCCAAGCCAAGCATAAGAAGCGCGCTGCTCTCAAAGGTTTTTCTTTCTTGCCATCATCCCGTTAACTAGAAATTTATGCGTATATATTTTCTCCAAAATTAATTGGAAAGGCTAACGGAGAAAAAACACGAGAAAGCAGACACAAAAGATTTCTATAAGTCATAAACATTTCAGCGTATTAATTCACAGGTGATTATCTTATTTATAGTACGATTTAGCTAGTTTTTATCAATAATATCGATTATTATTAAGATTTAGTAAGTTGACTACGTTCTTACTTTTTGCTAGAAAAATGTAACATCTTAACCACCTCAATCTTAAGGTTAGGCAACAAATTTTCTTTACGTAAAGTACTTCTCTTACTCTTTGTATCTAGTGTATATAATAATACAAATTAGCTTCCTAAAGGAACCATTTAAGACCTTTTTATCTCAAAACTTATCAGTGGATTTTTATTTTCTAGGGAGAAAAGCCTGAAAAAGCACAACAAAAAGAAGTACAAAGTATTCCTTTGCTAGTAAATCTTTCTCCTTAAAGTTTCCGCATATCTCAAGGTCTAAACTAAGCTAAGAATAAGAAGATATCTCAGTTTGGTACCGTTCAGCTAAGATAACTGGTTAGATAAGCCTGGCCAGGCTAAGACAGACAGATGAGAGCCAGACAAACAGACTTTGAAAATGTTGCGTGATTTGTGGTGACTTGGCATATGAAGTGGCAAAGAACTTGCATCTCACAGATACTCGAATACAAAACTTCGTACAACGACCATAGACGAGAAAGAACTTGGTGATGGAACTTGGCTCTTGATATAGCTCGGTGTCTGTAGTTTTCTCCTACTTTTTATTTCTGTTTGCCTCTGCAACGCGTTATGCAAATTTTCCGAAAGAGGAAAAAATCTCAAAACCGCAATGGAGCCCCAACACACATCCCCCCATGTCCCCCTTTCCCCACCCTACCGCCATCCTTGACGTGGAGGTCAACAAACGATTAACTTGTCTGCGGATTAGCAGTCGAAAGAGAGGGGCATACATTCCCCGAAAGAGATGCCAGATGGGAGTACAAAATATCTCCTAATTGGTTTTCAACGCTGTCTGCCACTGGAAGCTGGCGAAAACAGAAAAAAAAAACAAACGCAAAACCAGTTTAAACAACAATTAAAAGTGTAGAAACAAAAAATATACGATAGTTAATTGTTTGATGGACGCAAACATACAAAAACAACAACAGCAAAAAGTGAAATAAAAACTGAGAAAAAAGTCAGTTTACCGCATTCCATGGCCCGAAGAGAAAAGCTGAAAGCGAAACAATCTTTGACCCCGCTGAACTGAAAACGAAATAAATCATCGGATTTTTCTTTGTGACCTGCCTTTGGCTCTGGGCTTAAGCAAATGACTTTCCAGCTCAAGGCGCATGCGTAACAGGGCCAAAAGGCCTTAAGTATATGGCTAATTGAAGCACCGTTGCAGTTCGACAAGAATTGCCTTTGAGCTAAGACTTTCGATTAAATTGGAGGGAATAATACTAAGATTATTAATGTATATTAAAGCAATGACAAAGAAATCATTGGTTAAAGTTAAACTTTCTTTTCAATTGTTCGTCAAAAGCTGTTAAAATATATACCCAAAGCCATAAAACCACACAAAGTTTTTCCATATTTTAGCTTAATAAGTCATCCTTATACCTTCTGATTACTAAATATTTAAGTTAAAGCAATATTTTTTTATTTATTAGTATAATTAGAGGGCTTTTAAATAAACATGGTTACTTCCCACTCTTCCATGTTCCCTTGCAGTAAGTTTTTAAAAGCAACCTAAACATATTAACATTAATACTTATTTAAAAAATATGGGAAAAAATAGAAAAGATTTAGCATTTTAAAAAACATACTTTGATTATTAATAGCCTACCAATTTTGGTTAAATATTTTCCATGATAAGTAGATTTCCATTCAAATTAGTAAATATATACAAAAAATAAGCCACGGACCAAAGTACATTTCCATTTATTTTTCAAATATGTTAATTTAATGTGAATAATGTTTACAATTAATCAAATCATCTAAAATTTAACCTCTACAAAAAACACAAATCAGTCAAAACAGTGACTTTTCAGTGAGCTTTGAAGCTGCTTGACCGCATGGAAATTGCAATTTCACTTTCGCAACGAAAGGCTGTCAAGTTTCTTGGTTTTTTCACTGCATTTCCCAAGTTGTTGTGGGAGTGCCTCTATGCCTATGTGGAAAATGGATGTGCAATGCTCATATACATATGTGCATACACACATTTAAATGGCTGTGGTGAGGTAATAGTCTGCGGTGGTCAACGGAGTACGTCTGCCCGTCAACTGCATTCAATTTCCATTTACTGCGAGTGTGCCCGCTTTTTAACCCACTTTTTCACTTTTGCTCGCTTCTCGTCTTGATTTTCAATTTGCGGCTCAATTTTCAAAAGTTAAACGTTCCTCTTGGGCTGTTGTTGTTTTTTTTTCACATTGTTTTTGGTTTTATTCCCTGGTTGTGTTTTCTGTCAACCACGACGAGGTGTTAAATTTGCATTCGAATTTGCACGCTTTCAACGTTTTTCGACCCAAGTGGCGATAAAAACAATTGGCATGAGCCACGAAATGGTTGGAAAATCTCGTATTACCACCACGGCAAACCAAAAGCCAACGAATGACAAATGAGGGCAATGAGCACCAACAACAACAACGCCACAACAAACCACAAAAGCAAATAAAATTGGTAAGAAAAAAGATCTATTTATAAGTGTAACAAAAGGAAAAAATAAACCAGACTTGAAGTGTCAAAGTGATTTCTTGAAATTTACATGAGGAACCGAAACTGGAGCACCTGGAAATGGGAACAGAGATATGTTAAATTTTTGGGCGATATGTAAAACGAAGTTTCACCGATTTCGATTTTGTTTGGAGGAGGTTTTTAAGGAAAACAGGTCGTCTTTAATTTGGTTAATTTGCCATTGAAAACCTTTTGTTATTAGCTAAATTTAAACGCCTTAAATCTTTTGTAAATGTCACTTGAAGTTAAGGTGCTGAAATCCTTTTGAAATTTTCACATTGTTCATGAGGGGAGAATTTTCCAAGCGATTGTGTTCGTTCTCTTTGGTTAAGGAAAATGCCTTAAAATGTCGAAGAAGACTATGCCCTTTGATAGGGAATTTAGCTATTTAAAGTACAGGGTACATCGCTAAGATCTTTATAATATTGGAAGAAGCTATATGCTTAACTCAGAATAACAGCTAATGACTTATGCTTTTAGAGAAAAAAGGTATTTATCACATCTACAACTTAAAAACTTATATTAAAAAATGAATATCTCCGTTTCTTTGTGTTTAAATAACAGTGGAGTTTCTATATAAAAGTATAAAAATCAATCAAAATGTAGAAAAATGTATATAAAAATTGTGCCTATCTATATCAATCTATATAAAAGCATCAAAAACCCATTAAAATCTTGAAAAGCATAGAAAAGTATCAAAAATCTGCTTACGCATACACTTTTCCAACCCCAAAAGCAAGTTTCATCCAGAAGTTATGAGTTTCACACTTACAAGGGTATTTCAACAGCGAATTGTCGAAAGTTTTTGGGACAATAAACACTTCAAATGCCAAACGGCAAACGGCAAAAGGCAAACACTCTCCAGACATGAGAGCAAACTGAAATCCAGATTCGCTTTGTTGTTCTTTGCCAGATTTTATTGTTGTGATTTTTTTCTTTCTGGATTTTGGTTTTTGTTTGCTGGTTTGGTCAGTTAGTGAGTAGGAAAAAAAAAAACAGTTAAGGAACAAATTCTATGGCCATTCAGCGGGAGATGCTTCTAAAGACCATTGTCAGAGGAAAATATGCCACTCGGCTTTCTTCTTCTTTGGACACAAATTAAAGTTCGACTAGATGCAGCGCTTAAAAAGCTGTTATTTATGCTCGTATAGCAGGTACCGTTATTAGCTATCAACGGAATGAAGTCGAAGAAGTAGAAGTAGAAGTAGAACTCACTCCCCCTGACCACTTTACATAAGATATTAATCATGATTTAAAGTCAACTCTCGCTCGTCTCTCTAGCTAACTCTGCGTGGCCATAACATACATAACCCCCCTTTCCCCCTCTACAAAAGCAGTTTAATCAAAACAACAACCAGAGAAACCATCAAAGTGGAGGGAACTACAGGCAAAAGTCACGGTAGACGGAAAAAACAAGCATCGTTTGTGTAATAAAATATACTTATATAAAATATAAAGCGTTAAAAAATGCTAAACCATAAATAATAAACAAGTTATAAAAGATTGTTATGGGAAAACGTTTTTAGTATGTTTTCGATCCTTAAAAGATATATTTACCCTTTGTTTTTGTTTTGAATTGATAATATAAAAATAATATACGTTTAACACATATTTAAAATAAAATATTCAATTTTAACAGAAGTTAATTCAAATTCCCTTTCGAATAATTCTAAATTTAAATCCCACAAGTATCTACCTCGAAATTCCAGCGACTCTTTCCAATCAAACTAAAATACTTTTAGTCTATTCTGGACCACTGTGGCTAAAGTGGAAAGAAGTAGAAGTGGAATGGAGTTGTCTCCGCCAGAAGAAGCCCCCCAGCCACCCCTTTTCACTTAGAGCACTCGACATTGCTGGAGAATGAGTCATCCGCACTCGAAGAGCTCTCTCTTGCAACATTAGGTCGGTCGCGAATCGCCCAGATTCTTGCCGGCAAAACAACAAACAAGAAAAAAAAAAACGTGGAAAAAATAAAGATATATGCGAAATAAAAAGCGAAGA